TTTGTCATCTTCTGATGGATCTCCTTAATCAGGCTTAAACAAGGGTATGGCAGCAATTGATCCATGGTGTTTGTCATATTGGAATTGAGATATGATTCAGAAGATAAAAGATGCATTGCCAGTTTGTGATGTCTGTAGAGTTTGGACCAGAATATATGGTCATTAACCTTGATAAAGAGGGCGGAGTTATGGAGTACTGGAAATATGGACTGGTTATCACATATGTAACTGGTTGTTAAGAAACTCGTCAAGACATTTAAAATACAAAATGAATCAATTCTATTGCCCCCCCCCCCAACCTATATTTGGTAAGCATATACTTGAAATACAAGTATTTTGTGTTCAGGTCCCACCTGCACAAAGCGATCTTAGCATTAAGGTGATCATTACCCATACTTTAACATAGGCTTACGTAGTCATAGCGCTAAGATTGCTTTGTGAAAGTGGGCCCTGGATTTAGATGTGATTAAGCCAAACTACAAGAGGACTGACTTCCCTACTGTCAAAACATGTCTAATTCTATACACCAGCCTTCCAACTGTGTTTGTGTCTGGTACAAATCCCGATGGTCGACACTCGTGGGCTTTTAGGAGTATAAAGTCGTGTAACTGTATTGTTGTATTAAAGTGATGGCTACAAGCAAACATGGGAGATCGTAACTGTTTCTGTCTGTAGTTTTATCTGTTGTCAGTGTGTTTTGACTAAATGAGGGCCTAATCGAACATGTTATAATGGAAGTAAGTGCTTGACAAATGGACCATTATTATTGAAATCCCTACTAGCTTTCCTTCACAGATTGATCATTAGCTAACACTTAAAGGTCTGTGGCATTGTGTGGGATGTTAAACTAGTCCTGTTGATTTGGCATGTGAAGATACCCTTTATTATTTTACAAATTTTCCAACGAATCTGTAATAAGTGCTTGAACTGACTATTCTGAAGACAAATACTCAAATTTTATTTTGGGATTATCTTTTTTGCCAGAAAAACAAACTGCAAAGTGATCGCAACCAGTTTCCCAATTAGAATTTCTTCAGATTTCTGACTCAACCACTTAAGACTATTTTGGTATGTCATATCAACCTATCAATCGCACAACCTTGAGGGCTTTTACCCATACCTTTAAACAGTTCCATGGCTTTGATTGGACATGAACTGGTGAAGGTCTGGCGATGTTTGAAAGGCAATTAGTTTTTGAAAACAGGAGACAATTGGGTAACGTTTGGAAAGGGAATTGACTGAATGTGGAAAGAAAGCAATTGTTAGACAATTGTGATAAATGGGGATGCTAGACTGAAGTTGTTAGCATCTATGGTCTCTGGAGCAGAACTGGCATGCCATCGCATCATCAACACATATGGCATAGTCAGAGTAGACCCAGTGGATAGTCCTCTTGGACTTTGGAGCAGAACCTGTTGACTTTAGAATGGCCACGTTTATGAAATATTTCAGATGTGAACATACCACTGCATTTGATGTTATTGTGAATGAGCACGGATATAAATAAGAATTAGAATTTCAGATTAGTGTTTTCGAATGTTTGAATGTTTGGAAACAAGTGTTAAGATGAACAGTATATGACAGGCACAAGTGCAATAATATGTTTCTTACACACCTAAAATCACATCATTTTAGCATCGAGTCAATACATATTCTGTCTAGTCTCAGGATTGCAGTAGCATACCACAGTCATGAGTGACGTCACTTGGCTTACTGCTTACTACTCATACCTAGTGTGACCCTCCAAAAAAAGTACAGTCTCCGTGGTCTAGTGGTAGAGCATCTGCCCGGAGAGTGGAAGGTTGGGAGTTCGATCCGAAGCTGTTTCATGCCAAAAGATGGTACTTGTTGTTACCCTGTCTAGTGCTGGGCATTAAGGGGCTAAAACAAAGACTGGTCATCTCGGAGTCAGTATACTGTGTCTGAGTGGGGTATTCATGTTAAACTGAGGAATGGTATCTCAGTGAGCTCTCCCTCACACACGCACACGCACACGCACACGCACGCGCACACACGCTATATAGGTGCAATAGCCTTGAACGCAACGTTCACCTCACCTCCACAATAAAGTTTTAGTTATGTTTGTGGATTATCAATGATAATGAGAAACTAAATAAGACCAAAGAACATTTATGAAAGACTCTAAAACCATACAGTTCCGACTGACGAAAGTAAATTTGACTCAAGCACAAACGACTTATCAATGAATTACAATCATGAAAATAATTCATCATCATAGTCATCGTCATTATCACTTCATTCAACACTCAGGGGCAGTGGGTGGCCGAGTCGTCTAAGGCGCTGCGATTCGCTGTGCAGAGTTGCATCCCTTGGGCACGCCAGAAACCTATGATTGTGGGTTCAAATTCCGGTTCGCCCTGATTAGGTTTCTAGGTTTGTCAGCACCATACCCGTGCTCGTGGGTTTCACCGAAGTGATAAACGTCTGAGACCTGCATCACTCACTCACTCACTCACCCACTCACTCACTCACTCACTCACTCACTCACTCACTCACTCACTCACTCTCACACACACACATTCAACATTCTGTACCAAGTTCCCCATCCCAAACTGAACCTTTGCCACTATTTTCAGTATATGTTATTCTGTATAAATGTGGGCAGTTGTTAACTGAGCTTACTCCACTGAAGGAAATATTACCTGACTTGGGCGTCAGACCAGTGGATAAGTCCCAGGAGTATGGCCTTGCTGGCTGACAAGACCACATCATGAAGGCTCTTCTCCAGGCCATGTTCCAATATCACCCTTAAACACTCCAGCTCGGGAGGAGAACTTAATTGAATAAGGTTACTTCTCATTTCTGCACTTGACTGTAATCTATATATTTACCAAAAAGATTCCAGACCCTAAGTCTGAAGATTAATATTGTGATTGAACAGTCCAGTGACCAACTAACAAACACAGCTGCCGGTAATGAAGGCACCCACAAAATAATCGTTTGTTCAAGATTGGCTTTTTCTGCCTTAAATAGACTAAGTTACCACTTGAGACATGGCCCCTTTTCAGTGTCTTCCATGGAGATAATTCAGCATGAAGACCAATTTTGGAGGTTCTGTACTCCTGAGTAAATCAAGAGGAGGGGACTGCTCTGTCTGTGTTTATCCTAGGTCTTTGCATAACTTGAATGGCTGTTCCACAGATTATGCTTGAGAGCCTCTGAGGGGCATGTCTGAGCCTAGTTTACGATGAGGTAACATGTACGTGATTTAACTTTATCAAGAGAGATTGGAAAATAGGGAACGTTTCCTCTTGAGAGAAGATTCGGGATATGCAGAGGATGGTGGTTGTCCTGGGTAGAGGATGCCAGTGTGTTGTCTGTGGTTATCATATTCTGGGCAGTGTGAACATACATAGTGTTACACTAGAGCAAATACATACCCACGTTAGCATGCTTGCAAACTATCATTACTGTGGAGAGAATATTTGTCATTTTCAAGCAGCAGTTTCGATCCAGCTCAATAATAATTAGGGTGGTGGCCGTATGATCTAAAGTGCATCATTTGCCTGTGAGCTGTGTCCCATGGTATTGCAGGAACTGCTGGTTGTTAGTTCCCAGCTATTGCCAGATTATGATCCTCCAGACTGGATTGACCAGAGTTGTAACATCTGTGTTACTTTTGGATTCCTTCAATAAAAGCTGCCATGCCATGATATAACTGAAATACTGTTCAAAGTAGTATTTAGCCCAGTTAATTCCAATTTGTCGATATGCATTCTTAAAACGTTCCCGAAAGACATGGGGAATATTTCTGTGTGTGTACATATAGATTGATGAATGTGCATTCAGTTCTGACTATGAGAACAGAAAGAACTGGTGCAAGCCAAGGTCATGATCTCATCATCAAAACTTATGGAATATTTTTGCTAACCCTCCAAGCCCTTGACTACATCAATGCTGTCTGAAAGACTTCCTTGACCTCTATGACCTTTGGTTATGGGCATCAATGGAGGCTGCTGAATTTGAACCATCAGCGCCCCGTGAAGATCCAGGTTAGAATTGGTCTACAGCAACCCATACTTTTCATAAGAGGTAACTAACAGGATCAGATGATTAGGCTTGCTGACTTGGTTGATGCATGTCATCATACCCCAATTGCATAAGTCGATGCTCATGACGTTAATCAGTGGATTGTCGGGCCCAGACTCCATTATTTACAGACCGCCATCATATGGACCATTCTAATAATAGCGGGATATTACTGACTGCAGTTTGAACACTTCTTTCACTCGCTCCCTATTCGTTTGACATATGTACCCAAAATAGTAAGGGCAGTTGGTAGCCTAGTGGTTGAGAGTTCTCTGGGCATGCTGGGTTGATTCTCATTATGAGCACAGTGTGGGAAGCTCATATGCAGTCTCCGACGTTAACCAATTGTCCGAAGCCAGAGTCCAGTAATATTCTGTTTGGTCTAGTAAGCTCAGGTAATGATATTCCATATGATAACACTAAACTCTACTGAAAATGATGTCATGTTCGGGTGAGTAGTCTCAGAAGTGTTTGGCATAGATTGTATATAGATAGAAGGTTGTGGGGTTGCTCATCACACCAGAAGGCTTGAGTTTGATTCCCCACATGGGTACAATGTGCTAAGGCTTCTCACTCGATTACTCACTCACTCACCCTGCCACTCACTCACTCACTCACTCACTCACTCACTCAATCACTCACCCCACCACCCACACATTCAACATTCTGTACCAAGTCCCCCATACCAAACTGCACCTTTGCCACTATTTTCAGTATATGTTATTCTTTATAAATATGGGCACCCCACCCCCACCCCAACCACCCACTCACTCACTCACTCACTCACCCATTTGCTTTGAGGCATCATACCTCCCACTCACTCACCCACTCACTCACTCACTCACTCACTCACTCACTCACTCACTAATATCCTCACCCACTCACTCACTCACCCATTTGCTTGGAGGCATCAAACCTTACTCACCTGGTCCTTTTGTTTGTGTTCACAGGCAGAAATATGGAGTGTGTTCACAGCCACACTGAAGAAGAGTCGCCGGAACCTGCACGCATGTACAGAGGTTGGCCTCATTGGCCGGGTGCTAGAGCTGCTGGAGAGTTCGGATGACATGGTGGCAGGTGGGTGACCTACAGCTCCTTACACTGGTCCTTCAGACAGGCAGGAAGGTTGATAACATAATGAGTAGTGCGACTCGGTGCTGATCGTCTAATGATACCACTTTTGGGTCGTATTCACAATACAGGAATTGAGAAAGCATGCACAGAATTGTGTGATTGATCTATATGACCTTTTAGAATGTTGCATATGCACACATTAAGAGAAACGAAAGCATGATAGAATAATCTTACCGTCAAACCTCTTTCTAATGAACCCTTTTCCTTATTATCGAAAGTGGGCTCTATTCCTCCCCAACTGGAGTTATTTTGAGAGATTCTGAAATTAGACTGATTTATTTCGGCTTTTGGTAGTGGTATTCTGTATCCTTGATGCTACCTGAAACATATTTTATTCCTTCCCCTTCAGTTCTTCTGCTTGTATATTACACAGAATTGAAATCAATGTGAAATAAATTTCTAATTCATGATAAGCACACTATGACAATGGTGAATCTCCTGAAAGTTTCAAAGACAAATATGAACGATTATATTCCTTAAAAATCGATTATTTCATCATGTGACATCATTTTCTTTTTTATATCGTAGAATTATTTCTCTTTTTTTGGCAAATAAATTCTAATCATATCACTCTACCACACTGATTAGATTTGAGTTAGGAGCTTTTGTGTAACCAATTAAATTCCTTTCCGATGCGATGAGTGTACCCGGATAAAACCATCTTCATTTTGATGTTTCTATTTTCATCTCTCTATGCGTACCCCAGGCATCAGTGGTAAGTGTATGCCGACGATTCCAGGTCCATTTCTCCGTCTGTCCCTGTCCATTGTAACCTAATATACCACATTCTGCTTCATAACATCTCTTCAGCACTTCACTGCTCAGTTGCTTACATCTAGGCCCACGTGCACAAAACAATCTTAGCATTAGCATCATGACTTACAACAGTCATAATAGTCATGCTCAAGACTGTTTTGTAGAAATTAAAAGCCTACTTGTACGAATGTGTTAAACGCTAAGACCATTTAAGGTATGTCATTTGTTCATTCTAATGCTGACGCTCGTCACGCCGAAGACCCGGGTTCGATTCCCGACATGGGTACAATGTGTGAAGCCCATTTTCTGGTGTCCCCCGCCGTGATATTGCTGGAATATTGCTAAAAGCGGCGTAAAACCATACTCACTCACTCTAATGCTGACAAGCCAGGTGTGTCAAGCCAGATGTGATTCTGGACATTTTGACACAGTTTGTACAGTCTAATGCTGACACGCCGTATGTGTCAAGCCAGGTGTGTCAAGCCAGATGTGATTCTGGACATTTTGACACAGTTTGTACAGTCTAATGCTGACACGCCAGATGTGTCAAGCCAGGTGTGTCAAGCCAGATGTAATTCTGGACATATTGACACAGTTTGTACAGTCTAATGCTGACAAGCCAAATGTGTCAAGCCAGATGTGATTCTGGACATAATGACACAGTTTGTATAGTCTATAATGCTGACAAGCCAGGTATGTCAAGCCATGTGTGTCAAGCCAGATGTGATTCTGGACATATTGACACAGTTTGTACAGTCTAATGCTGACAAGCCACATGTGTCAAGCCAGGTGTGTCAAGCCAGATGTGATTCTGGACATTTTGACCCAGTTTGTGCAGTCTAATGCTGACAAGCCAGATGTGTCAAGCAAGGTGTGTCAAGCCAGATGTGATTCTGGACATTTTGACCCAGTTTGTACAGTCTAATGCTGACAAGCCAGATGTGTCAAGCAAGGTGTGTCAAGCCAGATGTGATTCTGGACGTATTGACACAGTTTGTACAGTCTAATGCTGACAAGCCAGATGTGTCAAGCCAGGTGTAGTCCTTGACATTTTGACACAGTGGGTAAAAACAGTGCATGGTGTCCCCATGGTGTGGAAAGTATCAAGCTGCACACTGTCCACATTAATCCATGTTATCAAATAAGAACTCCTAATGACAATCTGATCGCTAGAATTGATTTATGCAAGTGGGCCCTGACAGTATGATGGAGACTGCCTTAGGCCATTTTCTGAAAATTAGGGTTGTCCACACATTTCTTGCACATGAATGCAGCATTGCTTCATAGCTAGGTAGATTTATTAGTTGTGACCTGTACATCACCACACTGGAAACTGTGGTCTCTTGCTTTTGCTTCCTGGAGACTGACGCCAGCATGGTCCCTTGACAGGACTGCTATGTTTGAGATTGGATCATGAGTGTGAAATGGTCATCCTAAACTAAGATGATAGGTAATAGTATTTCAACTTCCTCACAGCAAATTGGGCTCTGACACAAACTCGATGACTCGATCACAGACTGGGAACTGACTTCAGTACTTGACCAGGGGTGAAAACTCACATTTTTACTTCTCTAACTTGCCTGGAATGGAAAACAGTAGTGTTTGAACTCATTTTGACTTAGATGATGGCAAGAAAAAATCAAAATGTTGTTTGTGAGGCACAATAGCATTGAGCTCAGATTTTTAGTCCTGGTCCAGATTTTTCCCCCGTCAGAGCCTTAACAGAGATATTTATTGATTCTTTCTTTATTACATCGATGACCACAGAATAAATAAGGGAGCGTATTCGCTTAGCTGAGTTACACCCATTATTCTTCATCTGTCAGCACCATTCCTGTGCTCTTGGGTTTAAAAAAAAATGTCTACAATCTGCATCACTGCAGGCTTTCCTCCTACATCTTATATGCTCTGATATGACTGAAATATTGTTCAAAGCAGCATTAAACCCGACTCACTCTCTCCCATGCTTTAATCACTATTCCTCATCCCAAGTGTGCCCCACTGATCTGCTACCAGTCTTTCATAGTGCACTGGACATTAGACATCATAATCTAGGAATCAGGGCCGTTTTCACAAAGCGAATCGTAAGTCTATGACTGTCATAAGTCTATGTTAAAGAGAAGGAGTTACGATGGCCGTAGCTCTACGACTGTCGTAAGTCTATTAAAGTATAGGAGTTACGATTGTCGTAGCTCTATGACTGTCGTAAGTCTATATTAAAGTATAGGAGTTACGATGGTTGTAGCTCTACGACTGTCGTAAGTCTATATTAAAGTATAGGAGTTACGATGGTTGTAGCTCTACGACTGTTGTAAGTCTATATTAAAGTATAGGAGTTACAATGGTTGTAGCTCTACGACTGTTGTAAGTCTATATTAAAGTATAGGAGTTACGATGGCTGCAGCTCTACGACTGTCGTAAGTCTATGTTAAAGTATAGGAGTTATGATAGGTGCAGTGCTACGTCACTTTGTGAAACAGAACAGGCCAAACCATACTCAGTCCCATAGAATATTGCCAGTAACAGAGACGACTCACATATATATGTTCCTCTCCGCCGTTACACAAGAACCATCATGGTAAGGTCTTATCACGGAAGTGCTGAAGTGTTGTTTTAGCTGGAATATGGTATGCATGCTTTTTCCTTGTTCTAATCAAAGCTTGTCAAACAAGCTATGTTCAAGAACCAATATATATGTAGTAACATACTCTACACTTGAATATTTTGTATCGGATAATTATCCGCATGTAGCCTATGGTTTTTGTAAATAATGAAACTATAATTTCAAACAATTTGGTTAGGTAAAGTCACATAAGGATCGCATCTGAGTAATTCCATGCAAAATAGTGACCTACTTTTGTTTTGTAACTACTTGAGAGCTATATCACTGACTACTTGTGTGACCTATCTGACCTGGATCTATCCTGTATCAAAGCACCTTCAAGTCAGTGACAATTTCATTATTTATTAAACCTGTGAAGATCTGGGTTGGAATAGGTCTTCAGCAACCCATGCTTGCTGTAAGAGGCGACTATGCTTGTCGTAAGAAGCAACTAATTGGGATCGGGTGGTCAGGCTAGCTGACTTGGTTGTTGCATGCCAATGTATCCCAATTGCCTGGATCAATGCTCATGATGTCAACACTGGAGTGTCTGGTCCAGACTTGATTATTTACAGACAGCCATCGTATGGCTGAAATATTGCCTAGTGCGGCATTAAACAACAACAAAACAAACAGACGTTAATTTTATAATCTGCCATTTTTTTAAATTATTGGGCAGATGCAGAGAAAATGGAGTTGCTTCCTTGTAATGACAACAGGCTACATGCTGTAGGACTAATAATCATTATCCATTAACATAATACTTGTATTCCACTCATTGAACAAACCTCATAGAACTATAGCACAAGAGTTGAAATACTTACAAGTTGGAACCCGTGTTGAAATGAACAAATAAAACTATTAGCAAGGTTATTTTGTATGTCGATCCCACCAATGCCTCAGCTGCTTGGGATGTTCGTTGTGTGATAATCCCTCAGTACCATTGGCGCCATGTTTGGCAACCTGCTTAATTTATGCTGAATGCAACAGCTTTATTGTTTAGATTATTGCTCTAGTTTGAAGCAAATTTTTAATACAACAGTCATTTGAATGAAAGTGTTGTGAAGTGGATTTTATATGTTGCATTATGATGATGAAATGATCCATGTTCATGTTGATCGACATTTCTGTGATGAGTGCATGATTATTCTCTTTTAACAGTTCATTATTTCGTTTTAACAGTTCATGATTAGTCAGTTTTAACATAATGTACTTCAAGGTAATGCATGATATATAAGATTAACATTAATTGTTGCTTGTCTTGTGATGTGGTGCTGTACATGGTACAAGCATGTCAATGTAATATGAAATGTGTTTTTGACCAACATGTGGATTACAATACAATAGTTTTTATATCCTACATTATTCTGATGTTAGCATTTATATCAGCATGCATAATATTATGAAATGTTTCACACAGATTCTATGATTCAATTTTCTTGAACAAGATGAGGTTTTATGGTTATTATTGAGTTTAACATTACAATAGACTTGTGTACAATATTAGAATTAATATATCTGTCAATTCCCTGTGACATTAAAATTTAAACATAATCACATGTAAAAATAACTACCGGTATATGTTTTTTAAAAGAAAATTTGATTTGTATTGAGAAAGTCTTAAACATTCACACATGAAAGACCTGTGAAGATCTGGGGTAGAATAGGTCTTCAGCAACCCAGGCTTGCTGCAAAAGGCAAACAATGCTTGTCATAAGAGGCGACTAACGGGATCAGATGGTCAGGCTTGCTGACTTGGTTGATGCATGTCATTGTATCCCAATTGCGTTGATTGATCACTGGATTGTCTGGTTCATGATGTCAATCACTGGATTGTCTGGTCGAGACTTGATTATTTACAGACTGCTGTCATATAGCTAGAATATTGCTGAGTGCAGCGTTAAACAACAAACAAACAGCACACATGTTGTGCATTGTTTCTGAAGGTGTGCACTTATTGTGTTCTGATGTCTCTGCCCTTGAGGTTTTGTTATAGAAAGCTGTCTATGTAAGATTTTAATTAATTCCAAGCCACCTTTTTTCAGCGTGTTAGTTTCTCTGTGCAGCTGACGCCCAGTGGGAATGTATTCCACAGATTTTCTTCTGATCCTGGGAAAAAAACAAATTCTAACCGCTTGCTTCTGGGCACTGTCGTTATCCTCAGCATCTCTCGTCCAAACATTTTGAAGTTGGAATCTTCAGCCATGTTTTTATGATGAATTTTAGATTCTGATAAATGGCTTGATATATATTCATATATTCAATGTCCTAAAATAGTTAAAGAATACAAAATGTGACTTTGACCAACGTTGGAGGAGTATGCTTGACAGAGTTTATTGGATGATCTTGAGTGATCTTTAGTCACCTCAGATGACTATTTCAGTAAGTGATGATCTATTTCTTGTCATGTGAAGACTGCAGTAGAGGTTGTTCAATGTTTTGTCTGATGGTGGCAGTGGGATAGCCTTGTTACCAGTTCACCTTGTCAGCCCAATACCCTATCTCAGAGGGGCAGTCGGGTAGCCTAGTGGTTAAAGCGTTCGCTCGTCATGCCGAAGACCCTGGTTCGATTCCCGACATGGGTACAATGTGTGAAGCCCATTTCTGGTGTCCCCCGCCGTGATATTGCTGGAATATTGCTAACAGCGGCGTAAAACCATACTCACTCACTCACTATCTCAGATCATTTACTCTGATACGGTCCCTCTTTTCGTGAAGATCTGAGCACAATAACTACTCTGATAACTCTGGCAAGCATTACTTTACCATTTATCAGAAAACAAAATTCTAAATCAGACTGCGATTAAAATACAACCTTTTGTTAGTTGGGGCAATATGGAACATGGAGAAGCTCAGACAAAAATAGTATAAATTATGTATCTTGTCATGTCTTAAGTACACTGATATGTTTGGATGTGATACTCATTTCCAGTATCCTACGCTTTTCATAAGTGCTGGCACTGGCAAGAACCAGGCTAGAATTGGTCCTCAGCAAACTATACCTGTCGTAAGAAGTGACAAACGGATGGGTGGTCAGGCTTGCTGACTTGGTTGATGCATGTCATTGTATCCCAATTGCGTAGATTAATGCTCATGTCAATTACTGGATAGTCTGGCCAATATTTGATTATCTACAGACTGTTGTCATATAGCTGGAATATTGCTGAGTGCTATGTTAAACAACAAACAAACATTAGAGCTGTCTTTTGAGCATCAATGTATGACCTGGCTGATTGTGTGTCATCTTGACCTGATGACATGTTCATGCTATCAACCACTGGTCTGCTGGCTGCAGTGTAAAACAACACTCACTCACTTGTTTGTATGTGAAAATGTCACACAGGGATTCCACCACAAGTCTGGATGTCCTGGGCGATTACTATGTCTCTGAAACAGATCCAAAGTATTATTGATCCCAGCTGATTGATTGACACCCATATTTTGTTCATGCAGATAATTCATATTCATCCCCCTGCAAAAAATATCGATGATTTGGATCTTTTCACAATGACATTGGACCATTCAAGAATGTTATTAAATTGGAACAAATTTTAGCCATTCTCGAGGAATAATTAAATGAGCAGTTCTGCTCCATGGCCATTTATACAATTGAATAAGGCTATTGAATTATTATTAATTGATTTCTCAACAAGAAATCGTCAAATTGCCCTTAAAGATTTCCAAACGGAAGACCTGGCTCTCGCAGTAATGGTTACAACGATATTGTTCGGTTTGCCGATACGAACATGGTGCTGAGATCTCAATAATTCTTTCCTGGTTGAAGGTGATTACTTTGAAAGTGGCTCATCACAGATTATTGAGTACATGAGCTATCATTAGACAAGATAGTATGGGGAAATGTTTTTTTATTCTTTTATATGATTGGATTAAAGGACGATTTGATTTCAAGCTTTTTGAAATAACCTGGCCTGACACCATATCACAAAACATGTTGTTAAATCTGATTTCTTAAAACAGAAGGTCTTGACGAACAAGACATGCAACTTAACAATAACTGGTTGCTGGCAAAAACCTGTTAATTTGCTGTCATCCATTTTATGATAATTCTATCAATTTTAGATTTAAATGTTTGTTCAAGTATTACATAAATATTTTTCAGTAGACATATTTTGGACAAAATTTATGTCGTACACAATTATGCATGTTTTATGCTACAAGAGGCTTGACAACTGAGATTAAGGACATATTTGCTTGTTCGATTCAAAGCAAAACCTGTGTAAGTTATTGCTGTGAGCATCGTAGGTCTTGCAGTGCTTCTCCAAAAATCAAAGGCTTGTCCGACATTAGATGAGGCCTTGTTGTAAATTGTTAATATAGAAACTTTCACCACATGCTGGAGCATGCTGGAATGTCAACACTCAAGTTTCAGTAGGGCAAATTCAATCAATTTCTCATTGGATGTTTGCTGAAGGCATCGATCCTCCTTTAGGGACTTGTTTTGGATTCATTGAGCGTTAACGGCCAATAAGCTTGTGTCAAAACTCCTTTATCAATGGACTCACGTTTTTGTTTCTTTTTTCCTTGGTCGATCAAGATATTGAACAGTCTTTTACAAAAACAAAAGTTTCAAAGATGATTTGAATACATTAATTCTATTATTTTAAGAGTTGACATTCAGTGAATACTAATTACAGCATTTCTGTCATCAGCATATTGTTGATGAGGATTTGGCACAGGATATTTTAATATTCATTTAAAACAGCAATTAAAAAAGTAATTGTCTGACAATGAATCATACAAGACAATGAGTTAAAAAAATAATTAAAATATGATTATTAAACAATCGTCTTTCATCATATTCAGAAAAACATGTTCACAAATTTCTATTTTTTCGCAAATCATTTCACGTTTGACTGTCTGAATCACCTTGGGCTATACATCATGCAAAATCTGCTGCAAGAATAAAGTCGCTGTCAGAGAAGTGAAGTAAAACGTCTACAAATTTAACATCAAGCAATCAAACTCATGATCAAGCATCTTTAAAATCTTCCCATTTCATGGAGAAAAAAATGCTTGAGAACAAATGAAAGTTTAATGGGCAACCAATGTATGTGTCGAGCCAGTGGTCATAAAATTGTCGTAACAGAGATTATCACAGCGTGAATGAATGTGATTAGCAAGACTACAGCACACAGATTGCGCCTTCCCATCTTGCAATGAAGATGTATCGACCATTTCCTCAATTTGCCATGCTTTATTAAACTGCATTCATCACCTGTCGGACGCTTCCCTCTCCCAAGACCTGGCTGCCAGGGAAGGCCAACTTTAGAGAATTTCCGAAACCAAAAAAGCCAGCATTGTGACACATTAATCTATCTCAGTTTTCAGTACTAAAATTAAGCAAGAACTCTCATGGGCGTTGGTTTCTTTGTTTTCTTGCTTCAAAGTGTTCTATTTGGATTGAGGTCGAATAATGTAAATATCAGACATATCGTTTACGTTTTTTGAATTTCAAGATGGTTCCATAAAGACAATTATTTTGGGTAATCAAATTAGGTAACTGAATTTGATTCCTTCCATATTGAATATGATGATTATCTATTTACAGTGGCAAGTGTTTGGAGGTTGGAGTGTGGGATTCTGTGATGTTATAGTTTTGGTGTCCGTTTCCATTGGAAAATGTTGTATGTCAAGGAAATATTGATTGAATCAAGATATCAGTGATGTTTGTGAAATATAATTCAAACAAATGGAAATTAGATCTGTCAGTTATTTCTGATAACTGTGAGTAATCAGGTAACTACAGAAAGAATAGTAAATGATATTCCTGTCACAGTCTCTTAACGATTACTGTCATGTCAGAAGACTTACATACAGAAAAAGAAGTACAGCCATATTGCATGCTCCGTCTCAGTGTGTGACACATTTGCTGTGCTTTTCTTATAGAAGACATAGGAAGTGATGTATCACTGTGTGGAACTTGGTCAAATTAACCTGGGGTCTGAAGCTGCAAATGAAAGGCACCGGAGACTTCATTGGTTTAATTCCCCAGCAAATAAAGGCAAATAGAGTACAGGGATTTGTATGTAGACATATTCAGGGGAAGACATCTTGCTTCGGACCCGTGAAGATCTGGGGTAAAATAGGTCTTCAGCAACCCATGCTTGCCGTAACAGGTGAATTTGCTTGTCATAAGAGGCAACAAATGGGATCAGGTGGTCAGGCTTGCTGACTTGGTTGATGCATGTCATTGTATCCCAATTGTGTGGATGAGTTAAAGAACTCATGTTTGCCAGCAGGGCTGCTTACTTTTGAATACAAGGTAAAGCTGTGAGAGTATATCACTACTACATCTTCTTCAGACGTAGTGCAGTCTAGTAGCGTGTGTATTCAACACTGAGTCTCATAAGTATGCTACCATGACACTGAAAATGTCAAAATGAGATAAATTCGAGTTATCTAATTCCATATGATACCTAAAAATTAACATGCCTTTTTAAACAAAAACCTTACATATAAAAACACCAATCTACTGATAGCTGAAGCATCGAAGCATATAACAATGGCTGCCAATAACCCTTTAGAATTGTGTACCAACAAGTAGCAGTTCAGGATGGAGGTAGTCATTCTGAATATGTCAGCTCAAAATGAAAATAAGAGGTATCTAACTACAGTTAGACAACCCCAAGTTTCAAAACACAGTTGGTTTATCTCCTGATTTGCCCACTTTATGTGAAAAAATATAGGTGACAGCGCTAAGGTATTTCTGTTTTGGTGTGTTGGTGGTGGGTGCTCTTTCATGGGAGGAACATCAGGCTTTAAATATATATTGTTGATCATATTCTTGATGTAATGATATTCCAATTATAGTCTGTGTTGTAAGTATTCCCAGATATTACCACCGCAACATGTACATTCCTTTCCAGATATATTCATTAATCCTTTACTTCACATTTCACGTTCTTGTCAAGAATATGATCAAAATGGGTGACACTGTTGGTGGCCAAAAGGAATCCTGACTTAATTAGAGAGCTATTATTTATGTTGTTAATTCAAAGCTTGCTGTTTTTTGTTAAAGTAACCTTTTCACAAAATATTATCCTCTAACTATTCAAATATTTATTATCTTCTGTATGTTTATTATTTATTATCGTCTGTTTTCACTTTTGAATGGCATTTCTCAAGACAGAGATGTAATGTCAAGGGGAGACAACTGTCGAAGTGAACTTCACCATAATCTCTTCCTTCATTGGGAATTAATCTACGACATGTTTGGTGTTACAGACTTGCTGACTGACATGCTCGGCTCACTAGCAAGTTACAGTATCACCGTCAAAGAACTTAAATCACTCTTTACTCTTCTGAAAACCAAAGATGGGAAGTGGGTGAGTATGAAACGTCTTTCTTCAGAGGAAATCCAGTGATATTGTGATTAAATAGAACAGTAGAAATAATTCTGTTGAATTTGTTTCCACAGGTATCCTATATACAGCTATTGCTGTTCACTTGGTCATGGGTTTGAATCCCAGATTCCTCCTGCTTGTGCCCTTGGTTTGTCAGCACCATTGTTATGCATGGTATTGTCACCCATATGGTAGTGTCTACGACCTGCATCATGTTCAGCTTCCTTCCCCACTAAAGCTGATACATCATCTTGTAACTTAAAACTTTTGGAGGGGCGACGGGTAGCCTAGTGGTTAAAGCGTTCGCTCGTCATGCCGAAGCCCTGGGTTCGATTCCCGACATGGGTACAATGTGTGAAGCCCATTTCTGGTGTCCCCCGCCGTGATATTGCTTAAATATTGCTAGAGCGGCGTAAAACCATACTCACTCACTCACTAAAACTTTTGGAAGCGATGTTAAGTCCAACTCATTCATATTATTTGACTGACACTAGCTAGTTTTGGTCCCGATTCTTGGAAAGACAATAGAGTTAATCACAAACGAGGATTGGGTGGTTACAATGTCTGAGCTTGGGCTTGTGTGTCATCATAACCCTACATCATGGATTGTTGCTCATACTGTCAACCACTAGTCGGTGTGACCCAGATTTGACTAAGCAATCCCATGCTTGCGGTAAGAGGCGACTATGCTTGTTGTAAGAGGTGACTAACGGGATCGGGTGGTCAGGCTCGCTGACTTGGTAGATGCATGTCATCGTATCTCAATTGCCTAGATTGATGCTCATGATGTCAATCTATGGATTTTCTGGTCCAGACTCGATTATTTACAGACCGCTGTCATAATGCTGGAATATTGCTGAGTGCAGTGTTAAACAACAAACAAACAAACAGACTTGACTAACAGTCCCCTTAAATGTGGCTGACTGCAGGGTAAAATATTATTCACTCACTAAGTTGCACACTCCGGTGCTGTTATGACTTAGCATCACACCATTGCCCCAAGTTTATTTGCATACATTTGTATCTGGTTAGGAGTGTCACTTTGACTGATGTTGACTGATGTTGACTGATGTTGATGTTCTTCCCACAGCAACGCCACTCCGTGAAGCTGCTGAATGTGCTGAGGCAGATGCCTCAGAGACACGGACCTGACGAGTTCTTTAGTTTCCCAGGAAAGAAGGGATCGGTAATTACCTCCCTTTCCTTTATTTCTTTTCATTTGTGTGAACGGTTCTAGACCTACGTTGAATTTCCTGTTGTCAGATCAGACAAAGGCTGTTAAAGTATCAAATCTTTTTTTTTTAGAAACTGTGGTATGTGTTTCATTAATGTCATACCCTATCAAAACAGAAGAGTAATCCCCATATGGTGATTGTTTTGTTATAATTATTTTGTGTGTGTGTGTGTGTGTGTGTGAAAAAGTACCGTACTGTATGATAATTCCTACGTAGTAAGGTACGACATGTAGGATGCAGGGTAAGAAAATAGTTCTGAACCAGCCCATGCTTGGCGTAAGAGTTGACTGACTGGATCTGGTCAGGCACAGTGACTTGGTTGATGCATGTCATCATGTCCCCATTGCGTGGATTGTCTGGCTGCTGTCATGTAGCTGGAATATTGCTGACTGCGACATTAACTAACAAGCTAACAGTACAGTTCAGCATCAGGAAACCCCAAATATTCAGTCAGTTCAAGTTTGCCCAAGGACAGATAACTGAATATACCATGGCTGGTGTTAGAAATTTAGGTGAGCCTGAGGTTCATGCTTGTTATTAACTGAAAGAAATTAAGAGGTTGTCTCTCTGGGGCAAGGTTTTATTGCCTGACTTGATTATTTACAGGCCGTTGTGATATAGCTGGAATAATGCTGTCTGTGGCCTGAAACAACACTAACTTTTTATTATGACTGAGACATCAAAGACTCATTTTGATGTGAGACATTATGTATTGATTCAAGGGATCCCATCAATAAGGACTTTTCATCATTAGATGAGAGATAAGGATTTGATTTTTCATTCTTTGTTTCAAACATGTCTGTGGAATATGCTTGGTATGACCTTGGATAGGAGCATATGTCGTATGCTTTGTTCCTCTTTGCTCTGTTGTGCTCATTGTGAAATGTGTGGTTTTCTTCAGCATATTGCCTTGCCACCGATCAAGAACTGGCCCTACCAGAATGGCTGGACTTTCTCATGCTGGATCCGGCTAGATCCAGTCACAGGGGTCAATGTGGAGAGGGAGAAGCCCTTCTTGTTTTGGTCAGTGTACATCCTTCAACTTGAACCACTAAGGGCTGAGCCACTAAATGCTGTAAGAGCTGAGAGGTCATTGTGAGCTAAGTGGGCCTAATGGGGTAGCCTCGTGGTTAACAAACTAGTTCTTCAATCCAAGGTCCTGAGATTCATTCCCTACTGTGACTGAGGCCAATTGAATATTGCTGAATGTAACATTCAGCCATACTTACTTCTGATGGCCCTCGTCTCCAGTACTTCATTCATGCTTGACATCCAACCATTCTTACTCCAAATGGCGCCATTGTCCCCAGTAGTTCATTTGTGCTTGACATCCAACCATTCTTACTCCAAATGGCACCATTGTCCCCAGTACTTCATTCATGGTTGACATCCAACCATTCTTACTCAAAATGGCGCCATTGTACCCAGTACTTCATTCATGGTTTACATTCAACCATTCTTACTCCAAATGGTGCCATTTTACCCAGTACTTCATTCATGGTATACATCCAACCATTCTTACTCCAAATGGCGACATTGTCTACAGTAGTTCATTCGTGCTTGACATCCAACCATTCTTACTCAAAATGGCGCCATTGTACCCAGTACTTCATTCATGGTTTACATTCAACCATTCTTACTCCAAATGGTGCCATTTTACCCAGTACTTCATTCATGGTATACATCCAACCATTCTTACTCCAAATGGTGCCATTTTACCCAGTACTTCATTCGTGCTTGACATCCAACAATTCTTACTCCAAATGGCACCAATGTACCCAGCACTTCATTCATGGTTGACATCAAACCATTCTTATTTCAAATGGCACCATTGTCCCCAGTACCTCGTTCATGCTTGTTGTAATCAGGAAGAAATTAAGAGGACATTGTTGGTTTTTGTTTGGTGCAGGGTTTGTTTGCCTGACTGCATTATTTCAAGGCCACTGTGATATAGCTGGAATACTGCTTGAAACAAAAGTATTTCATCTGTATTGACTTTGAGAGATTATTTTGCTTGTCACAAGGTACTTCAACTTGTTTTGTTCTGTTTCAGTTTCCGTACCAGTAAGGGTGTTGGATATTCTGCCCACTTCGTTGGCGAGGCACTCGTCATCACCTCCATGAAGGTCAAGGGCAAAGGATTCCAAAACTGTGTCAACTACAATTTTGCTCCACGGAGGGTTAGTCAAACAGTTCGGAATATCAGAATATTCTGTAATTAAACTGTAGGTGTCTGTCCTGCATAATTAATTGTTAATTACTAAAAGGTGGTAAACATCTCACTCACTCACTCCCTCACTCACTCACTGATTCCCCTTGTATTGCAGTGGTACATGGTGACTATCTCCCACGTGTACAACCGATGGAGCAAGTCAGAAATCAAGTGCTACGTTGACGGCCAACTTGTATCGTCAGCTGACATGTCATGGCTTGTGAGCACCAGTGATGTAAGTGGTAACGATCAGGTTATATCTTGGGTTGTGCAGAGTTGTGTCCCTTAGCCGACAGGATCATCATTTACATCATCAATACTTCATGGGTCTGTACACAAGGGCTGGGACGAGTCCAAATTTACTGACGGGGTACCCACCCCTCTTTTACCCGACCCTACCTGGATACCCACTGTAGGTCTTAAGAGATGGGTACAAAATGTCTGATTGGGAATAGTTTGACCGTAGTCCTGGAATAATATATTTAGATGTACTCATAAAAATTAAACGATCTGGTCATGCATACCCTGATGTTGACAGAAGTTTTATCTTTATTCCAACATATTAAAGTCAGAAGGAATGTGTGCTTAGTCAGCGAACATTAGCGGCTTGTAGTGTAACCATGAAGATCGAGATAATTAAACTAAACAATATACTACGTGACTAACCATGGGTCTGGGAAGTCCTGGGGGGATCCGGGTCATGCTCAGTACCCACCCGCCCCAAGTACCCGAGTTACCTACTGTATATTCTACCTTACTCCCTCACCTGTGAATAAAAGGTCCTCTTTGTGTTGTAATAGTGACTCATGTCTGTGTTTAAGCAGGTTTGTTTGTTTGTTTGTTGTTTGACGCCACACTCAGCAATATTCCAGCTATATGATGTCAGTCTGTAAATAATTGCATCTGGACCAGACAATCCAGTGATTGACATGATCATCGATCCAAGCAATTGGGATACAATGACATGCATCAACCAAGTCTGCAAGCTTGACCACACGATCCCGTTCGTCGCCTCTTACAGTGTTATAAAACCAACAGAAGACTAGTAAAAAGACAACATTGTGTATACAAACCCGTGAAGCACTGACAATTAGTCACTGTTGATGGATAAACGTAATATATACAAACCTGTAAAATATTGATGTAGAATCCGTTCGTATTATGATCCATGCTCTAGCATCCTAAACATTATTGCCCCGTGAAGATCCCGGGTAGAATTGGTCTTCAGCAACCCATGCTTGCCATAAGAGGCGAGGAACAGGATTGGGTGGTCAGGCTCGCTGACTTGGTTGATGCATGTCATCATATCCCAATTGCATAGATCGATGCTCATGAGCTCATGATGTCAATCACTGGATTGTCTGCTCCAGGCTCAATTATTTACAGACCACCGTCATAAAGCTGGAATATTGCTGAGTGCAGCATTAATCAAACAAACAAACAAACAAACAAACAAACAAAACAAAACAAATTATTATCTCCAAACTACTATTTAACCTGCATCACTCAGCTTTTTAAAGCTCTGATGTGGCTGAAGCACTGTTAGAAAAACCCATTCACTGCTAGATGAACAGAGGCATTGTTGAACAAAGTCTCTTGCCTGAGGAGACATTATTTTCTGAATAATCTATAATTAAATTTCCCAATCATAAAATATTATTCCATGACACATATATATTTTCAGCCTTTTGACAAGTGTTACCTGGGATCCAGTTCAGATGGAGACACAGACCACATGTTCTGTGGTCAAATGTCCACTGTGTACCTGTTTAGCGAGGCCATCCAGCCCCACCAGATTGTGGCCATGTACCAGCTGGGTCCAGGATACAAGGTAGAACACAGTTTACCCCTCATGTACAACCAGGTGTCACGGGCCCTTGACAGTACAGATTTGTGTATGCATGTCTGTGTGTGCGTTTGCATTACATGCAAGGCCAAATGAAGTCACTCATACTTTCAAAAATGTGGTTTCAGAATTTGAAGGAAAAGTCAGTGAATTTTTTTCGGAAACCATAATTTTCTTATTGAATGTGTTGATGTAAAAAAAACAAGTCTCACAAATAATCCAAAAAGTATCATTATTATATAGTTCAGTTTAATTATCATGATTTTAAAAAACTTTTTGAAAAACCTGTTTGAAAGAAACAGTACGGCTTAGAAAACCCTGTTGTATTTCTGTGTGAATGTGTTTGTTTTCAGACGAAGGCTATGTTTTATATGCTGTGCTGCTATTGATGAACATAGATGTACTATTCATACCTTGTCCCGTCTGGTTGGTGATTCCATCCATGGCCGCATCATGCCAAAAAACGTTAAAAGATGGTACCCAGCCTGGTGCTTGTCTTTAAGGTGCTAAAACAAGGACTGGCTGGCTCGGAGTCAGTAAAATGTGTCTGTGTGGGTCACCATGTTAAAACTGTGGCATGGTATCTCAATGGGCTAGCCCCTTTAAAACCGGCATATGTCTGGACTTCTACAAGCGAACCCACACACATGTGCGTGCACATCGCTATATGAGTGAAATAATCTTGTATGTGATGTTAAACCCTCACCTCACCCAACCTTGTCATGTAACCAACATACCTTCATACAACCTACCTGTTTCTCACCTGTATTCTCACCTGTATTCTCACCTGAACCTGTTCTCCATCTCTACAGAGCCAGTTTAGGTTTGACAATGAGAGCCTGGCCTCACTTAACGATGCCGCCAAGAGGGTAGGAAGTGTTGTAGTCTGCATGTTTTTTGTCGGGTTCCTTGGTTTGCATGCTACACTTAGGGTTTCTTTCTGTTACTTCAGGGGTTGAAACATTGGGCTCTGAAACTGTGACTCATGACTTCTTTCCTCATTGTTCAAAGATTAGTCAAACTATACTGAACAAAACAAAATACTGAAAAAAAATGAATATTTTCAGGATATTTTAAATTGTGCACTTAATCTTCACTGCTAAAAATATCCTCAAAAATATTCATGACCCCTAACTTTTTTTGTTCAGTTTTAGGTCAAGTCAATCCAATTACTTTTAAGTTAAGAAAATGTTTTCTGATCTTAATTCTCTGCATGACATGTGACAGAATAGGTACTAAAGTCAAATGATTTTTAAGTTTCTTGATGGCCAGTGACCGATCTAAATGCACTGTACCTGGTCCATTCCAAGTCTTGTTGAGACGTTTTGGGGCCCTGTGTGAAACTGAGACATTGTCCTGTTTGAAAGACTTGAACCAAATTTGCTTGCACTGCCAAATTGTGGAGTCTTGTCCTCCTTTAAGGTCCAAACACAGTCCAAGACTGAGAGGTCACTTGGCTTGTTACAGCAAGTGAGAGCTGTGTTTTCTTGATTCAATACATGTACCACGGAATTGAAACTGAGTTATTAAAACTTACACCTTTTAACCCCTGGAGCTACAGAAGTTCATAGAACACTCATATGTTTCATTCAAAATGTTATGAATCGACCCACTTTGATTCAAGGTCAGATCTAAAGGAAGAATAATTGCAGCTCTATATACATGAGTTCTCCAGTAAATAATTTTGAATTTCTGTGCAACAAGGGTCTTTCTTTTGGGCTTAAAGAATTGTTGTTATGGTTGACTCTGTGTTACATGTGTCAAATGTCACAAACAGTTTAAAAAACAGTGCTCGCTCAAAGCATCCTCAGAACCAAGACCTGTGTACGTTTACCCATATCCTGGGTACTGCTGTAGAAGACACCTGATTCTTAGATATATAGGACACGCTTTTTAACCAATTCTGGGTAGTTCTCAGGACAAATGTAGGACATGCTTTCTAACCAAGTTTGGAGTAGTTCATGGACCAAATATAGAACATGCTTTCTCACCAATCTTTGGGTAGGATCATCTTAGCGCTAAGATCGCTTTGTGCAAGTGGGCCCAGGTGTGGGTGGTAAGATGTCTCAAAGCCACATGTTCTTGCTAGGTGCAAAACAGGGTTTTCCACAGCAGAGTCCAGGCCCAAATGCACAAAGCAATCTGAGCGCTAAGATGATCCTAACTCCCATACTTGAGCATAGGTTTACAATAGTCTTAGCGCTAAGATTGCTTTGTGCAAGTGGGCCCAGGTGTGGTTGGTAAGATGTCTCAAAGACACTTGTTCTTGCTAGGTGCAAACAGGGGTTTTCCACAGCAGAGTCCAGGCCCACATGCACAAAGCAATCTTAGCGCTAAGATGATCGTAACTCCCATACTTTAACATAGTCGTAGCGCTAAGATTGCTTTGTGCAGGTGGGCCCAGGTGTTTCTCAGTCTTTTGTCGTCCAAGAAAACTTTTGTTTCACAGTTCCAAGTTTTTCTGTTGTCCGTCTGTCTTGAGTATATATATGTCTTGTATCAGAACGTAACACATGTCTGTCTGCATGTATGTATGGGAGTAGTGTAGTGAATGTTCTGTGCATACACCGTGTTTATTACTTAGAAGATTTCATGCACCTGCTCTACACATCTTACTGTGTTGACATCTAAAACATTCTGTAGTGTTCAACTTTTTTTAAAGCACTGATTTTCTTCAAATGATGCTCATAACTTATCATATTCATTCATGGTCATATGCATGTTGAGAAATCTCAACTGGATTATCAGCCCAGAATTGTTGATCATATCGTCCCGATTATGATTCTTGATTTGTCAGCACCCTGCCGTTATATATGTTTGTTTGTTTGTTGTTCAACGTCGCACTCAGCAATATTACAGCTTTATGTATGGCAGCGGTCTGTAACTAATCAAGTCTGGACCAGACAATCCAATGATTGACATCATGAGCATCGATCCACCTAATTGGGATACGATGACATGTATCAACCAAGTCAGCGAGTCTGAACACCCGATCCTGTTAGTCGCCTCTTACGGCAAGCAGGGGTTGCTGAAGACCTATTCTACCCCAGATCTTCACGGGTCGCCATAATGCTGCTGAAGCCCAACCCAACTTACTTTCTTGATAATGAACTTGTAGCACCATTGACTGGAATAGTTTTCATTTTATTTTAACATATATATAATGCCTCAAATCACCTTAAACACGTAATAAGACAATTATAAATAAATATTATTTGAAAGGTTGTTTAAAAAAATGACTATATTATAATAACTAAAACTATATTATGTTTTGGGGTAGTGAGTAGTGGTTAAGGTGTTCACTTGTCAGGCCAAAGGCTTGGGTTTGATTCTCTCTTGGGTACTCAAGTGTCACTGGGTTTGAAATTGCTGGAATATTGCTAAAAGCGACATAAAACCCAGCTCACTCACTAACTCAAGGGGACTTTGGTTACAGTAATTGTGACACTTAAGGTGTGTGATGCTAAGGAGCTTTATCTACTGGATGAGGGCTGCTTGTTCTGCTGATATTATTTAAAGTTTTGGTGGTGGAGGGGGTTGTATACATTAAGTCTAAGAAAACAAGTGTTGTGTTATAACATGGCTGTGTATCAACCAGCAGCTGTTGCAGTGGTTGTAGGTAAACTGCGCAGCCGGACATGTTGTTGTAGTGGTTGTAGGTAAACCGCGCCGCCGGACATGTTGTTGTAGTGGTTGTAGGTAGACTGCGCAGCCGGCCATTATGCTGTAGTGGTTCTAGGTAGACTGCGCCGCCGGACATGTTGTTGTAGTGGTTGTAGGTAGACTGCGCAGTGGGCCATGTTGTTGTAGTGGTTGTACGTAGACTGCACAGCCAGCCATGTTGTTGCAGTGGAAATAGGTAAACCGTGTGACCCAAACTAACATGTAAAGTCCTGTCTCTAATATGTTGTGTTCCATGTGACAATTTTCTTCAATTCCCGACACTTTCACGTATATGTGCATGCTTCCACCGCGTCTGATTGGAGCATCGTGTCTGGAACTGTTGAAATATTCTATATACTGCTGTGAATTATGTCAAAATACATATATTTATTATTAGAGATGTTCTGTTACGGATTTCCTTATGGATCAAAATGATCAGATAAAAGTAATTCATAACTTAAAAAGTTCATATTGAAATATTATTTACGTGAAATAAACTAAATGCCTGTCTCTAGCTGTGTAACTTAACCAATGGGAAACTGGGGAAGGTGGTCTTCACTGGAGATTCGTGAAATACCAGTTTAAGCATCATGTATGAAACACTGTTATGTATGTTCATTACAGGGATAGAGAAATTGTTTTTCAACTTGTTGTCTCTGTATGTTCTTTAATGCAGAAATGAACAATTTGATATTTCATGTATGACCATGTGCTGTCTGTCTGCCAGGTTCTGTATGATGGGCGGCTGACCAACTCAATCGTGTTTATGTACAACCCCATCGCCTGTGACAGTCAGCTCTGTCTCGAGTCTTCACCTAAAGGAAACCCCTCCTACTTCCTACATTCCCCACATGCTCTGATGACACAGGTGAGTCTCCGAGGGAGTAGATACCTGTCCTGTTGTATAGGCTGGCCCAGTGGTTAGTGTGCTCTCTAGTCACACCAAGGTCTGGGTTTGATTGCCATGAATGTCTCATGAGAAAGTTGAATCTCTTATGGCTATAAGTGGTCGTTATGAAGTAAGGTGGCCCAGTGGTTAGTGTGTTCTCTAGTCACACAAAAGTCTGGGTTTGATTTACTTGAATGTCTCTGGTGATAAAAGTAGCCCTTTGGTTAATGTATTCTCTAACCTCAATGACCACCAAGGTCTTCTGAGCTAGGCTCCGGTGGTAATAGATGGATGTCACAAAGTAAGGTGGCCCAGTGGTTAGTGTGCTCTCTAGTCACAACAAGGTCTGGGTTTGATTGCTAGAAGGTCATATAAGACAGGTGAGTCTTTGGTGGTAAAAGATGATTGTTATGAAGTAAGGTGGCCCAGTGGTTTGTGTGTTCTCTAGTCACAACAAGGTCTGGGTTTGATTGCTATGAAGGTCATATGAGACAGGTGAGTCTCTGATGGTAATAGATGGCCCAGCGGTTTATGTATTCTCTATCCTCACTGACCATCTTGTGAGCTAGGCTCCGGTGTAATAGATGGATGTCATGTGATATGAGGTGGCCCAGTGGTTTATGTATTGTGGCACTTGAGACCAGGGTTTGAGTCCCATGACATGGTGAGGCTCTGTAGATGCCAGAAAACATTGTGGTATTTGTGTATGTATTATCTGTAGTGGTGTAGCTGTGATATAACAGCAATACTGGTCAAAGGGGCTTAAGCCCCAGCTCATGTCGTAGTGTAGCCTAGAAAGAATGTATGTACAGGTTGCAGGGGATTAATTCCTCACCTTTGTTGAAATGGTTGTTTGTAAGTGAAGACCGTAGATGACTGTGCTAGTCACTGTGTGTCTGTGATGTATAATATTGAGGTTGAGGACACATGTATTGTGTGTGTTTCAGGATGTCAAGGCTGTGATCACTCATTCCATACACAGCACACTCCACTCCCTGGGAGGAATACAGGTGAGATCATCACATTATCTTCACACCTTCACACCCTTGTCCACACACTCACACCTTCACACCATTGTTACCCACTCACACCTTCACACCATTGTTACCCACTCACACCTTCACACCATTGTTGACACATTCACACTTTCACACCATTGTTCACCACCATCGCTCTTTCAAACCCTCATCCAGCCCCATCACCCCTTTACACCATCACCCCTCACACCGCATTATGTTCAGTATATGTAGAAATGTAACTTGACATCTATAAATCATCCTCTTTCCAAACAGTGTAATTTTAGTTTCAATTTTGAACTGAAATAAAAGTTTGTGATGCAGTCACTGAGAGAAGTATTGCCAGAGAAGCTTGCCGCAATATAAGTGGGTCCTCCCTGCTGCAGACACAACCTGACCCTCCATGACTGTATGTTCCAGATCCTGTTCCCCCTGTTCGGGCAGCTGGATGCCCCCGTGGACCGAGGGCCCAAGGAGGAGAGTGTGGTTGACAACACAACATGGTAGGACCACCTGATACATTGTCAGGAATCTAAGCATGCAAGCCAAACGGGCCTTCTCATAGTCCTAACAATTGGAGATTGAAGGTGTCTATAGATTCATATACTATGGCATCACACATCAGGGACCACAGGACCACACTAGATTTCGAACAAACCCATGAAGATCCGGGGTAGAATAGTTCTTCAGCAAGCCATGCTTCTTGTAAAAGGCAACTGTGCTTGTTGTAAGAGGCGACTAACGGGATCAGGTGGTCAGGCTTGCTGACTTGGTTGTTGCATGTCATCACACCCAAATTTTGTAGATCGATGCTCTTGATGTCAATCACTGGATTGTCTGGTCCAGACTTGATTATTTACAGATCGCCCTCATATATTTGGAATTTTTGCTGAGTGCGGCGGTAAACAACATCAACTTCAGTGTAGGACAAGAGCTGGTCTTTAGGAACAGGCTTTCCTCCCACATTAAGCTGACACGCTGTGATATAACAGGAATATTGTTCAAAGCAGCGTTGAACCCAACTCACTCACTCACTTACTGAAATAGGATAAGCTACAACTTCTGTGTGGTTATTATATGAACTTAATCATCTACCCAAGTGTTATCTGTGTTAAAATAAGCACAAATTACCATTTGTGGGTCATAGATATCAAAAGTTTATTTTCTCCATTTTATCACGAGGCGTCCATTGTGAAGTGTACTGCTAATGTGTGACGTTTGTCCAGTGCCTCCCTGATGAGCCTGCTGTGTGAGCTCCTGGAGAGTTCCCTCAACATCCAGCAACAGTTCATGCAGAACAGAGGCTTCCTCGTCATCAGCTACCTGCTGGAGAAGGTAACACAGCCACAATAGTCAGTAATAGAGATACAAGGGGTCTCGGGTGTCAAGTGGAGGGACTGACAAAGTACATGTCTTCCCGAAGACCCGTGAAGATTCCAGGGTAGAATAGGTCTTCAGCAACCCATGCTTGCCGTAAAAGGCGACTAACGGGATTGGGTGGTCAGGCTCGCTGACTTGGTTGATGCATGTCATCGATCCCAATTGCGAATTGCAATTGAGATTTGTTTTTGTAGTATTGAGGATTCAGGGGTGAGTAAATGCGTGAAAAATTAGATGGTATATGGGATTCAGGGGAGAGGGTTGGCATCCTCATTCTACTGAGTCACCATCAAACCCGTTTCACCAATTTGGTAAACGTCCGAGGTCTGCATCACCTCGTGCTTCCTCCCAAATTAAGCTGACACGTCATGATATGACAAGTACTGTTCAAAGGGCTGTTAAACCCAACTCACTCACTCATCCCATCAAGAACACTCCTATCTGTCATTAGTTGCTCTGATAAGTCTTGTCTTCATTAACCTTTCCCAGTGATGTGCAGAAACGAACAAGCTGTTCAGTGACCTTGTGTGTTTCAGTCGTCGCGGGATCACATCACCCCGGCAGTGTTGGAAGCTTTCCTGAAGCTGACCAAGTACCTCGTGGAGCTCCCTTCAGGGGGACTCCTCCTCAAGCACCTGTTTGACTACATCCTCTTTAACCCTGCTCTGTGGGTACATTCATCCGTGGAGGTAAGCTGTAGTCAGCTAGAGGATTTGAAAACTATTATCAAGTTTGGGTAAGTGACCCAGGAAACTAGTTTGAACTCATGAAGCTTCGATTCTCGAATGCAATTTTGTGATTTTTCTGTGATATGTGAAAAACTCTACTTCCTTAGAAATGTTTGGTATGTGCTTTCTATTGACTCTATTTAAAGCTGGGGACTCAGATGGACTGATGCTCTTTTAGGGATTAATTTTGTTTGTGTTGGTTGACAGATCTGCCGACATGAAAAATAGCGAAATGAAAATAGAATGAAATACTTTTTTGATATTTTTTAATACCATCGACTAATGGTATAGAAAAATAAATAAAAAAATAAGTTAACTTGAAATATCACTCAAATTGTTTTGAGTTGGAAAGAGGACTATTGCAAAATACAAAATAGTGAAATGTTTACCCGAAAGTTTGAAGTGATGAAGACCGATAAGTGTTGCAGCCCTTTGATATGACATATCTGGTTGTGCAGGAGTTTAGGCAGGAAATTCATATGCCTCGTTTAGGCAGTAAATTTAGAACATTTCGAAAGTTTATTAAGATTTTTGTTAAGATTTTATTTCGACAACATTTGAATTTATTTTTCATTTTCTTTTTGACCACCAACATTGCAAAATTCCATAATTCACCTCACAAAACAATAATCGCATTAGCTCTTGAATTGCATTTTTTAGCCAGGCGAGGATCTTATTGTTTCTGGTTTTGTTCCTTGACTTTCCCTGATTATCGTCTTGGTCCCCTGTCAGTCACCGAAGTAGTCACCATACCCATTCTCGTGGGTTTAACCCAACTGCTAAACTTCTAAGACCTGCATCACTTTGGGCTTTCCTCCAGCATCAAGGTGACATGCTGTGATATAACTGAAATACTGTTCAAAGTGCACTTGAACCAAACTCACTCACTCACTTCAAGTGATGCCTTTTCCTAGGTCCAGACCAAGCTTTACTGTTACCTGGCTACAGAGTTCATCAATGATGCCAACATCTACAACAACATCCGGCGTGTGAGTGCGGTGTTACAGACGATGCACACTCTCAAATACTACTACTGGGTCATCAATCCCATAAACAGGAGTGGCATCACGCCAAAGGGGCTGGGTAAGACTCGCAATCTGACAATAAACAGTTGCCTTGACTCGCAAGCACTGCTCATGACAAATACACAAGTATTAATGCTTTATTTCTGCTTAAATTAGAAAAATAAGTCCACATGTGGATGTTTGTTTGGAACTAAAACAATAATTGCCCTGAAAGGTTTTTCATCAGAATTTATGAGATGTTATTTGGTGTGCGACTGTCTGATGACTGAGTGACTGCTGATGTAGATGGAGAACGGCCAACCCAGGATGAGATCGTGAAGCTGCGGTCGTTCATGTTGCTGTATGTGCGGGAGTTGATACTGAAGGGGCAGGGGATCCTGGAGGATGAGCTGCAGAGCATCCTCAACTACCTCACCACCCTACACGAGGTGAGGACCACGCCCACAGCGGGTCATTGTGGCTCCAGGGGACAGCTGCCAAAGGCGCCACGATTCACTTTGCAGATTACCCCCTTTGTCATTGTGTGTTGAAACCCAGATTCTGAAGATAAAATACACTGGATAGTCGAGGATACTCAGATTTGACCCAGCTTTTATCCTTGGTTTGCAAGCATAATATCTCAGTTTCACCTAGATGGAAAACAGTGATGACCTGTATCACGTTTTGGGCTTTCTTCTCACATCAAGCTTAAAATCCATATCACTAAAACATTGTTCATAGTAATGTTACCGTATTCACTGTAAAAAAAATGTTATGTGACAAGAAAATACTGACTGTCATGTAAAATTTTGGTCTTCTTAGGGGGTGCTTATAAGTTTTACTTTAAGATTGGTCTAAAGTTGGTCACGGGACGCTTATTGGAGTGGGGCTTGATACATTGAATACGGTAATCTTCACTATCCAGATGTTTCTAATGTAACTAATATGGTACCACATGAAATGTGGCATTGAATCCAGCTCAGCATGAATCCTAGATTTGTATTGAATTATGGATAGTAAATCGGTAGCTCAGATATTGCAAGATACAAGTCCACTACTTCCTCAGTTCCGTAGATTGGAAAATAGTTATCCACAATGGCTCTGATGTTGGTCTTTGGCCCCAAAGTTGTGGCGTGTCTGTAAATTTGTCTGGTGGTTGCAGGATGACAACCTGATGGACGTCCTGCAGTTGATGGTGCAGCTGATGGCAGAACATCCGTCCTCCATGGTGCCCGGCTTCGACAAGAAGCAGGGAGTCAGGTAGGGGGCATTGCCATACTTCATTGCATGAGACATACAGGTGTCAAGAAAGCACAGATTTGATAATAATCTCAATCCCTTGAACATGGTGCATCTTGATTAATGGGATCCAAGGCTGACATACATTCAGAGTTTTTCAAATCCATACCCAGTGTATTGTGTCTTGTAGATGTGTCTTCAAGTTGCTGGGTTCAGCCAATGAGGACATCCGCATCCACACCCTCAAGTTGCTCGGCTACTTCCTGATGCGGAGCACCCACCGGCGGAAACAGGATGCCATGACACCGCACAACCTGTTCTCCCTCATCGGAGACCGACTCATGCTGAATGTCACCAACATATCTGTGGCTACCTACAATGTGCTCTTTGAGGTACAACTTTGACATTGTTTGTTTCTTTGTGTTGTTTTTGTTGTTTAATGCTGCACTGAGCAATATTCCAGCTATTTGACGTCAATAAACACCATTAAATAATCAAGTCCGGACTAGACAATCCAGTGATTGACGTCATGAGCATCGTTAACGCAGTTGGGAAAGAGTGACATGCATCAACCAAGTCAGCGAGCCTGACAAACCGATCCTGATGGTCGCCTCTTACGACAAGCATAGATGCCTCTTACGACAAGCATGGGTTGCTGAAGATCAGTTCTAACTTTCTTCACAGGTCATGACATACGTAGCATGATCATGATCATTGTGTTCATCATGCGGGAAATAATTTCAATTTAGTTTTACCGCTGTTACAGGATAGGTCCCCAGTTCCTCGGGTTTTTGGGTTGTTTTATTTAGAGCTCTGTCAGGGGGTTAAGGGTTAGGGTTTAGAATTGGTCCCCAGTAACCTATGCTTGCCATTAGTGGATTTGGTGTGAATTGGTTGATAGCATGTCATTGTTCCCTGCTAGCATGGATTGTTGCTCAATATCAGTCATAGTTTGTCTGTCTACCATCATATCACTGAATGTTGTATAAAATATCATTTACCTCACAGAGAAAAGAAAGAGCTCCCGGAATTTCAACTCATCATATGCCCCTATTGGCTATTTGATAATTCTGGCTTGACATTAGATATAACAATGACCTTCATCTGTCCTTACACTTGCAAGTGATAAATATTTAACAGATGAAAGTACAGTAACTGCATCATTTTCTTCACAGCTGTTAACAGAGCGGATGAGCATAGACATCATTCGCAACAAGCATATTGAGCCAGAATGCCACTTCCGTATCGAAAACTCCGGTAAGTCTGTCTATCCTCATCTCTTGAAAAATCTGGGCTCTGTTCCAGCCTGCAATCTTAGTGCTATAGACTTATGACTGTCTAGTACAGATATGATAGTAACTCCCATGGTTTAACATAGACTTGACAATCTAGTGTCAAGGTGATAGTAACTCCCATAATATACCATAGACTTAAGAGGGATGGCGCTAAGATGACAATAATGTATTTGGTTTAACATAGACTTGACAATCTAAAGCTAAGATGATAGTAACTCCAACAGTTTTACATAGACTTAAGACAGTCTAGCCTAAGAATGATAGTAACTCACCTAGTTTGACATAGGCTTAAGAGGGTCTTGTGCTAAGATGATGGTAACTCCCATAGTTTAACATGGACAGTCTGGGGCTAGCAGAGTCTCTTGGATAGCAAGAACAAAATATCACTGAAACATCACATTGATAGTTTATTAATCTTTCTTTGCACCATTACTGAGAATACTAAATGGTGCTGATACCTATGTTGGGTGTTTTCATACAACAGCTCTGGCAGTACAGAAATATATTTGTTTATTGAAGTGTATACCATAGCGATGAAGTAGCATTTTCAGCCTATTACTCAATTTTTCTCCACACGTCATTTGATAGATGACATTTAGAGCTGATATAGACAATGGGGTGTTGTACCTGGAAGCCATCATTATAATGTTAAAGTACTGATATCACAGTGTCGATTGACTTACTGTGTACGGGTGGCCCAGTTGTCCATGGCGCCTTAATTTGCTGTGCAGAGTTGCTGCCCTTGGACCTATGGTTTGGAATCTCTGTTGACCCTGATGATATTTCTAGGTTTGTCAGCACCATACCCATGGTATGGCCCAGTCGTCTAAGGTGCCGCAATTCGCTGTGCAGAGTTGCTTCCCTTGGGCACGCCAGAAACCTATGATTGTGGGTTCGATGATATTTCTAGGTTTGTCAGCACCATACCCATGCTCATGGGATTCACCAAAGTAGTAAACATCTAAGACCTTCATCACTTCGGGCTTTCCTCCCACATCAAGCTGCCACGCCATGAAATAACTGGAATACTGTTCAAAAGTGGTGTTAAACCCAACTCACTCACTCACTCTGTGTTGCAGCTGTTCTGAAGGTGGTGGCAACCTTGATCCGTCAGTCCAAAGTTACTAAGGAAGTGCTGGAAGTGAAGAGAATGTTCCTGTCTGACCTCACCATCCTGTGCAATAACAACAGAGACAACAGGAGGTGAGGCATTTCCCAGCAAACTACAAGGAATAACAGGCTGTCTGTCTCGAGGGAATAAATGATGTAGGCTTGAGCCTTTGCTATTGTTTGTATTTTGCCAGGACAATGCTGCAGATGTGGGTGTGGCAGTTAGGGTATTGTTGTCTTTTGTTTGTTTGTTGATTGATTTACGCCGCACTCAGCAATATTCCAGCTATATGACGGCGGAATGTAAATAATCAAGTCTGGACCAGACAAACCAGTGATTGATATCGTGAGCATCGATCCACACAATTGGGATATGATGACATGCATCCATCAAGTCAGCGAGCCTGACCACCCGATCCCGTGAGTCACTGCTTATGACAACATAGTCGCCTCTCAAGACAAGCATGGGTTGCTGAAAGCCTATTCTACCCCAGATCTTCACGGGTCTGTTGTTTGTCTGTTACATAGATGATGATGTGAGTGTGGCAGTAATGGTGTTGTTTGTGCGTTGCCAGGACGGTGCTGCAGATGTGGGTGTGGCAGTAATGATGTTGTTTGTGTGTTTCCAGGACGGTGCTGCAGATGTGGGTGTGGCAGTAATGGTGTTGTTTGTGTGTTTCCAGTACGATGCTGCAGATGTCGGTGTGGCAGTAATGGTGTTGTTTGTGTGTTTCCAGGACGGTGCTGCAGATGTGGGTGTGGCAGTAATGATGCTGTTTGTGTGTTTCCAGTACGATGCTGCAGATGTCGGTGTGGCAGTAATGGTGTTGTTTGTGTGTTGCCAGGACGTTGCTGCAGATGTGGGTGTGGCAGTAATGGTGTTGTTTGTGTGTTGCCAGGACGTTGCTGCAGATGTGGGTGTGGCAGTAATGGTGTTGTTTGTGTGTTGCCAGGACGTTGCTGCAGATGTGGGTGTGGCAGTAATGATGTTGTTTGTGTGTTTCCAGGACGTTGCTGCAGATGTGGGTGTGGCAGTAATGATGTTGTTTGTGTGTTTCCAGGACGATTCTGCAGATGTGGGTGTGGCAGTAATGGTGTTGTTTGTGTGTTTCCAGGACGTTGCTGCAGATGTGGGTGTGGCAGTAATGATGTTGTTTGTGTGTTGCCAGGACGGTGCTGCAGATGTGGGTGTGGCAGTAATGGTGTTGTTTGTGTGTTTCCAGGACGATGCTGCAGATGTGGATGTGGCAGTAATGGTGTTGTTTGTGTGTTTCCAGGACGATGCTGCAGATGTGGATGTGGCAGTAATGGTGTTGTTTGTGTGTTTCCAGGACGATGCTGCAGATGTGGGTGTGGCAGTAATGGTGTTGTTTGTGTGTTTCCAGGACGATGCTGCAGATGATGGTGTGGCAGTAATGGTGTTGTTTGTGTGTTTCCAGGACGATGCTGCAGATGTGGGTGTGGCAGTAATGGTGTTGTTTGTGTGTTTCCAGGACGATGCTGCAGATGTCGGTGTGGCAGTAATGGTGTTGTTTGTGTGTTTCCAGGACGGTGCTGCAGATGTGGGTTTGGCAGTAATGGTGTTGTTTGTGTGTTTCCAGGATGGTGCTGCAGATGTGGGTTTGGCAGTAATGGTGTTGTTTGTGTGTTTCCAGGACGGTGCTGCAGATGTGGGTTTGGCAGTAATGGTGTTGTTTGTGTGTTTCCAGGATGGTGCTGCAGATGTGGGTTTGGCAGTAATGGTGTTGTTTGTGTGTTTCCAGGACGGTGCTGCAGATGTCGGTGTGGCAAGACTGGCTGTTCTCCATGGCCTACATCTACCCCCAGAACAAGGATGAGGAGCGCATCACCGAGATGGTGATGTCACTGTTCAGGATGCTGCTCCACCATGCCATCAAGTACGAGTTCGGAGGCTGGAGAGTCTGGATAGATACCCTGGCAATCTTACACTCCAAGGTAACACTTCTAATGTGTTCTTGTACAGGCAGTATTTGTTCCAATACTTGTAGATGTACCATCTAATCCACATCCTTGTTGACTCCCTGCCTCTGAAGGTAGGTGAGTATCTGGTAATCACAATGGCTGCTGAGGATGATAGTAATTTTGATGGGTCAACTGTACTGGCCAATAGCTGGTGTAGGTGGAGGTGTAGGACCTTTGACAAAAGGATCCTGTATATTGGCCAGTGCACAACAATAAGACACCAAGGAAGAGCACTTACAGCTGTTGTAGATGTAGATGTTGGATTATGACAAAACACTGTGTGTACTGACCGATACACAAAAGGAGGGTAGAAATTACTTATTCCCCACTCTGGGCGACTAATACATGTGTTTACTTTTTCCTTTCAATTTGATGTTAATGTGTCCAATATGGCAAAAGTAACAGAAACAGACAAAATATTCACAAATTAAGCATCCATAAAACTTTATTATAGATAGTTTTCAAATGGTTAACATCAGGCTTTTCCTCTCACATCAAGCTGACACACCACGATAAAACTGAAATACTTTTAAAAAGGTGTTCAGCCAAAGTCACTCACTTGATAGTTACATGGAAATGTTTATTCTGTTATTTGCCTGCTCCAGGTGGCGTATGAGGACTTCAAGAAGCACATGACCAAGATGTACCAGCAGTACGAGCAGCAGCGATCTGACGACATCACCGACCCACAGGAGAGGATGAACAGACCAATCAGCACCATCTCGGGGATATCCGACAATCAGGTGGAGAAACCCATCCCCAAATCGACCGTCCAGATTACTGACGTCACCGACCAGGAAGCTGTGACCAATGGGGAGAAGAGGGAAGGAGCAGACGGATCCGAAGCACAAGACAAGAAAGGGGGTGATGCTCAACCAGCCAAAGATACTGATCCAAAACAGAGACCTGATTCTATCACTGAGGAAATGAAGAAGAAATACCCTGCTGAGATTGTTGACTTTGTTGATGATGTTATCGACCAAGTTGTGACTCGAGTTGAATCAAAAGAAAACACTGACAATACTGCAAATGGTGTCCAAAGGGAGGCAACTCCTGAAGGAGCTTCTGCGGAAAGCAATAAAACAAGTGTGGATGTTAAACCAAACCAAGATGGTGCAGCGCCAGCTGCCAAGGTAACCCGGACTCCATCCACTACGAGTCGAGGTGGTGAGGAGCGGCGAGGGGGGCGGACTATATTCAGTCCAGGTCCGCGAGCTCCTCCGTTCAGGATCCCTGAGTTCCGCTGGTCCTATCTGCATCAGAAGCTCCTGTCGGACTTGTTGTTTGCTGTGGAGACTGACATCCAAGTCTGGAAGAGGTGAGCATTAATAAATATTTAATGGATATGTTTAAGATTGAAAAATACGTAATAATAGTTGGCAGTAAGTTGCAAGAACTGGTAAAGATGTTATAATTTTTTAGTATGTATAAGAACTACCCTTCATGCTTAATAAGGCATTCCTCAGAGTGTGGGATCAAGTGCCTTTGGCCTTCAAAACCACCTCATCCATTCTATGTATCGACGTTGCACGGCAGTCATCAATGCACATGGCGGACACACGAGATACTGACTTGTGATGCCATTTTCTCAGAGACTAGTGTTGTGTTTCACTTTAAGAACATTTGACACTTTAATTTCAACCTTGATGATCAGTTTTGCCAAGTTTCATCTTTTTAATATGTCTCAAAGTATGTTTACAGTGTTTGGACAAATAGGGTTTCTCATCTATCTATCCATGGTGACGTTTCTTTTGCAGTTTAGTATATATCATAGCATATACTGTCTGCAATATTCAATACAACATGTGTCATGCATCAAGTGTTTTTTTTCTAAAATCTTGCTAGAATGATAAAAAAGAAATAAAAAAATATAAAAGAAGTCTGGAAGATGTGAGATTCTCCGATAATAAGCTATGACCTTGCAGGGAGAATGGATTATATGTTCTGAGTGAACTAGTTTGGGCCCAAGCCGTGGCAGATAATCCATTACTCCGAGGTTTGAGGGTCTTTTCTGATTTCGTTATAGATTTTTTTTTCTAATCACAAGCAGAGACATCATAACTGTCAATCAATTTTTGAGACAATGTTACATGAAGCCTTCTGTGACATCATGAACAATAAGTGAAATCATTTTTAGTCATTTGGGACATGTAGTTATTTGAAAACAATGGTCATTTGGCATGAACTAGCCAATCAGTATGAAGTAAACATTATTATAAGATTTTCTGAAAATAATTCCTTATTGGGTAATATGTCCCTTTATGTGACTTTGAGATATCCGAAAGATGGAAAGTTGATGGACTACCATGTGGAAAATCCAACTACAGGAGTGTTCTGGCTTTGACCTGTGACCAAATCATTATGTAATTCTGTCTTGCAGACATGAGAATTTTCCTCGGATTCCCAGAAATCCGGGATTTATCCTCTCAGAATTATGTAAAATGCACTTATTTTAATCCTTGTTTTGAACATTTTCTTGTGGTGGCATACCCCCAAATCCCCCTAGATTGGTGATGTTCCTCCAAATAAAAGTGATGCTGTTCTCATGTCTGGTCATGAAATGGCTGTGAACTGTTGCTTTAACTCTATTTAACTGCTGACTTTGTGTTAATGAACTGAAATCACAAAATATCACTACTGACCCACTTGTAGCTAATCAGATAAACTCACCCAAAGTGTTATTTTATCAGATTTATGTTTTCTTTGATGTGACTTGGGCAGTCTTGATCAAAGATTTTGTTTTGTCTAAACTGTGGTTAGATTAACTTGCTTTAATTCTGTTGGTTAATATATTTGACACATACTTAGATGGAATAATTATTTGTTTTAAAATATCCTCAGGAATTTACCACCACACTTTTATTTCCAGCCACAGTACAAAGAATGTGATAGACTTTGTGAACGCAAGTGAAAACCACGTGTATGTCGTGAACGTGACCCACATGATCTCCCAGTTGGCGGACAACCTCATCACCTCCTGTGGCGGCCTCCTTCCTCTCCTGGCTGCAGCCACATCACCGAATGTAAGCATCCCAGTCTGTGTTATTTGTTTATTTGCTGTCAGTAAAGTGTTCCAGTTATTTGATGGCACCCTGTAGATAATCAAGTCCGGACCTGTGAGTGATATTATGTCTCACACTGATAGGGAGCTATGACATGCAATCAGCCAAGCAATCAGTCAGCATGCCTGACCACTGTTCCATTTAGTTCCTTCGTAAGACCAGCATAGGTTGCTATGGTGGTCTAGTGATAGAATGTCTGCCTGGAGAGTGAAAGGTCGGTGGTTGGTAAGCATCTCAGTCACCTCTGTCGATACCTTGAAACGTCGTCTTCCTGAGGCAAGGGAGTTAACTGACTAAAAAGTCCTCTTTCCACCCCTTTGATGAACTAGGCTGGAATTGTGGAGTTAAAATTTTGGCCGGGTTTATTGAGTCTATGCATAGTCCAATCAAAATCGTTTATCAAAATCAGCATCAGGTTTGTAAACTGCTGTCCAGATTTCAGTGGATTGCAGGATTTGCAAAGGATGTGCTCCGTCAACTTAGCCTCAACAGATATTTCAAAATCTTGTCATGATTTTAGTAAAGGTGCTCACCTGATTTGATGCACTTTGTGAAGTAAGACCCGTTTTATTACAATTTAGATCTTGATTATCAATCAGATTGTCTTCACTGGCGATGCCATTTCATTTGAAGCAAATGCAAGTGATATGAGAGCTGAAATCTGATTGATCAATAGGTGGGCCATACATAGGACATAATTCGCAATAGCAACTGGTGGTGCAACGGTCAGGCCCAGAAATTCTAGCCTAGATTGGCAAGGGTGGAAACTGGACTTTTATTGTCCGTTAGCTCCTTTGCCTCGGGAAGATGTGAAACGTGCACTGAACAAAGGGTTCAGTGTTTAAATGAACCAATATATGCTGTCAAGAGATGCTTCCCTTAGACAGGATCTGCTGGTGGTTTCAGTTCCACCCTAGTAATCCTCCTTGGTCTGTCAGCACATGACCAATACTCTTGTTATTCACCCCAGTTATCCTCCTTGGTCTGTCAGCACATGACCAATACTCTTGTTATTCACCCCAGTTATCCTCCTTGGTCTTTCAGCACATGACCAATACTCTTGTTATTCACCCCAGTTATCCTCCTTAGTCTGCCAGCACATGACCAATACTCTTGTTATTCACCCTAGTTATCCTCCTAGGTCTGTCAACACATGACCAATACTCTTGTTATTCACCCTTGTTATCCTCCTAGGTCTGTCAACACATGACCAATACTCTTGTTATTCACCCCAGTTATCCTCCTTGGTCTGTCAGCACATGACCAATACTCTTGTTATTCACCCCAGTTATCCTCCTTGGTCTGTCAACACATGACCAATACTCTTGTTATTCACCCTAGTTATCCTCCTTGGTCTGTCAACACATGACCAATACTCTTGTTATTCACCCTAGTTATCCTCCTAGGTCTGTCAACACATGACCAATACTCTTGTTATTCACCCTAGTTATCCTCCTAGGTCTGTCAACACATGACCAATACTCTTGTTATTCACCCTAGTTATCCTCCTAGGTCTGTCAACACATGACCAATACTCTTGTTATTCACCCCAGTTATCCTCCTTGGTCTGTCAGCACATGACCAATACTCTTGTTATTCACCCCAGTTATCCTCCTTGGTCTGTCAGCACATGACCAATACTCTTGTTATTCACCCCAGTTATCCTCCTTGGTCTGCCAGCACATGACCAATACTCTTGTTTTTCACCCTAGTTATCCTCCTAGGTCTGTCAACACATGACCAATACTCTTGTTATTCACCCTTGTTATCCTCCTAGGTCTGTCAACACATGACCAATACTCTTGTTATTCACCCCAGTTATCCTCCTTGGTCTGTCAGCACATGACCAATACTCTTGTTATTCACCCCAGTTATCCTCCTTGGTCTGTCAACACATGACCAATACTCTTGTTATTCACCCTAGTTATCCGCCTAGGTCTGTCAACACATGACCAATACTCTTGTTATTCACCCTAGTTATCCGCCTAGGTCTGTCAACACATGACCAATACTCTTGTTATTCACCCTAGTTATCCTCCTAGGTCTGTCAACACATGACCAATACTCTTGTTATTCACCCCAGTTATCCTCCTTGGTCTGTCAGCACATGACCAATACTCTTGTTATTCACCCCAGTTATCCTCCTTGGTCTGTCAGCACATGACCAATACTCTTGTTATTCACCCCAGTTATCCTCCTTGGTCTGCCAGCACATGACCAATACTCTTGTTATTCACCCTAGTTATCCTCCTAGGTCTGTCAACACATGACCAATACTCTTGTTATTCACCCTTGTTATCCTCCTAGGTCTGTCAACACATGACCAATACTCTTGTTATTCACCCCAGTTATCCTCCTTGGTCTGTCAGCACATGACCAATACTCTTGTTATTCACCCCAGTTATCCTCCTAGGTCTGTCAACACATGACCAATACTCTTGTTATTCACCCTAGTTATCCTCCTTGGTCTGTCAACACATGACCAATACTCTTGTTATTCACCCTAGTTATCCTCCTAGGTCTGTCAGCACATGACCAGTACTCTTGTTATTCACCCCAGTTATCCTCCTTGGTCTGTCAGCACAAAACCAATACTCTTGTTATTCACCCCAGTTATCCTCCTTGGTCTGTCAGCACAATACCAATACTCTTGTTATTCACCCTAGTGATAAATGTCCGAACTTTCTTCCTATGTTTAGCTGGTCTGTTGAAGTACTGTTCAAAGCATATGTGTACACCCAACTCACTCATTCATACTTGTGCATCTAATCAGGCTTTGTTTGTTATGACAGGGTGAGATTGAGATCTTGGAACCCAACCAAGGGCTCAGTATTGAGCAGGCAGTGTCCATCCTGCAGCGAATCATGTACATGACAGACATCTTGGTGTTTGCAAGCTCCACGAACTTTGCTGAGTTGGAGACGGAGAAGAACATGCCCTCCGGGGGCATCCTCCGACAGTGCCTCAGACTTGGTAGGTACTTGTGTGTGCACCTCCGACAGTGCCTCAGACTTGGTAGGTAGTTGTGTGTGCACCTCCGACAGTGCCTCAGACTTGGGAGGTAGTTGTGGTGGCACCTCTGACAGTGCCTCAGACTTGGTAGGTAGTTGTGTGTGCACATCCGTCAGTGCCTCAGACTTGGTAGGTACTTGTGTGTGCACCTCCGACAGTTATCAGTGCCTCAGACTTGGTAGGTACTTGTGGTGGCACCTCCGACAGTGCCTCAGACTTAGTAGGTAGTTGTGTGTGCACCTCCGACAGTGCCTCAGACTTGGTAGTTAGTTGTGTGTGCACCTCCAACAGTGCCTCAGACTTGGTAGGTACTTGTGGTGGCACCTCCGACAGTGCCTCAGACTTGGTAGGTAGTTGTGTGTGCACCTCCGACAGTGCCTCAGACTTTGTAGGTAGTTGTGTGTGCACCTCCGACAGTTATCAGTGCCTCAGACTTGGTAGGTAGTTGTGGTGGCACCTCCGACAGTGCCTCAGACTTGGTAGGTACTTGTGTGTGCACCTCCGACAGTGCCTCAGACTTGGTAGGTAGTTGTGTGTGCACCTCCGACAGTTATCAGTGCCTCAGACTTGGTAGGTAGTTGTGGTGGCACCTCCGACAGTGCCTCAGACTTGGTAGGTAGTTGTGGTGGCACCTCCGACAGTGCCTCAGACTTGGTAGGTAGTTGTGTGTGCACCTCCGACAGTGCCTCAGACTTGGTAGGTAGTTGTGTGTGCACCTCCGACAGTTATCAGTGCCTCAGACTTGGTAGGTAGTTGTGTGTGCACCTCCTACAGTGCCTCAGACTTGGTAGGTAGTTGTGTGTGCACCTCCGACAGTTATCAGTGCCTCAGACTTGGTAGGTAGTTGTGGTGGCACCTCCGACAGTGCCTCAGACTTGGTAGGTAGTTGTGTGTGCACCTCCTACAGTGCCTCAGACTTGGTAGGTAGTTGTGTGTGCACCTCCGACAGTTATCAGTGCCTCAGACTTGGTAGGTAGTTGTGTGTGCACCTCCGACAGTTATCAGTGCCTCAGACTTGGTAGGTACTTGTGTGTGCACCTCCATCAGTGCCTCAGACTTGGCAGGTAGTAGTGTGTGCCCCTTTGACTTGCTATGTGAACACAATCATGACAAACACACTACTTGATGTTCAGATGTTTGCTGACAGCTTTTGTCACAGTACTCCCCTCAAGCCAGCAATCATCTCGTCAGAAAATAGTAGTGTCATATGGAAAGGAAACTGGAGATTGGGACCAATACTCTGTGCTGTTATCCGGCATAGATAGGTGCTGGAGTTTAATGATGATGTTTTTACTAAGTTTTGCTGGGACCAGAAATATATTAGGATTGTATTATATTTTCATGTGGGGAATAATATGTGATCTTGTGAAGTTAATCTTAATGTCTTTCTTGTGGACATCATGTGTATGGCTATGTGTTTACTCAACATGCTGATATTGTCTTTCCCAGTGTGCACTGCTGCAGTGCGGAACTGTCTGGAGTGTCGTCACCGCTACAACCCAAGGACACCGACAGAGGCTACCCCTCCAACAACAGCTACTGTCAATGGTGTTGACCCTATACAGTCTCTCATAGAAGGATCACATCCTTCTGCTAAGGTTAGAATTATAGAGAAATCACTTCCTTCTGCTAAGATTAGAATTATAGAGGAATAACATCCTTCTGCTAAGGTTAGAACAATAGAGGAATCACTTCCTTCTGCTAAGGTTAGACTTATAGAGGAATCGCATCCTTCTGCTAAGGTTAGAATAATAGTTGAATCACTTCCTTCTGCTAAGGTTAGAATTATAGAGGAATCACATCCTTCTGCTAAGGTTAGAATTATAGAGGAATCACATCCTTCTGCTAAGGTTAGAATTATAGAGGAATCGCATCCTTCTGCTAAGGTTAGAATAATAGTGGAATCACTTCCTTCTGCTAAGGTTAGAATTATAGAGGAATCACATCCTTCTGCTAAGGTTAGAATTATAGAGGAATCACATCCTTCTGCTAAGGTTAGAATTATAGAGGAATCGCATCCTTCTGCTAAGGTTAGAATAATAGTGGAATCACTTCCTTCTGCTAAGGTTAGAATTATAGAGGAATCACATCCTTCTGTTAAGGTTAGAATTATAGAGGAATCACATCCTTCTGCTGAGGTTAGAATTATAGAGGAATCACATCCTTCTGCTGAGGTTTGAATTATAGAGGAATCGCATCCTTCTGCTAAGGTTAGAATTATAGAGGAATCTCATCCTTCTGCTAAAGTTAGATCTCTGTCAGTGGTGTTCACACATACAGTCTCTCATAGAAGGATCCCATCCTTCTGCTAAAGTTAGATCTCTGTCAGTGGTGTTCACCCATACAGTCTCTCACAGAAGGATCCAATCCTTCTGCTAAAGTTAGATTTCTTTCAATGGTGTTCACCCATACAGTCTCTCAAAGAAGGATCCCATCCTTCTGCTAAAGTTAGATATGTGTCAATGGTGTTCACCCATACAGTCTCTCACAGAAGGATCCCATCCTTCTGCTAGTGTTAGATCTCTGTCAATGGTGTTCACCCATACAGTCTCTCAAAGAAGGATCCTGTGGCCTTGTGGTTTCCTATGCCCTGCCCTGCGACATGGCTGGAATATGTATATAACTGGTGAAGAAACACAGTTTCTTTGTTTGTTGTAAGTATATCGCCAACTCAGCAGTATTCAAGCTGTATGATGGCGGTCAGTAAATAATCAAGTCTGGACAAGACAATCCAGTAATTGACATCATAAGCATTGATCTATGCAAATGGGATACAATGACATGCTTCAACCAAGTTAGTGAGCCTGACCACCTGATCCCTTTAGTCGCCTCTTATGACAAGCATAGTCACAAGTATAGTATGGGTTGCTGAAGACCTATTTTCTACCCAGATCTTCACGGATCAGAAACACACTGACCCTCTTTTGTGATGAATTCCTGGGTTGTTCCTATACTCATTTTTTCTCCTGCAGAACATTGTGGACAACCTGGCAGGTCAGATGTCGCCCATCAAGGACCCCGAGAAGCTGCTGCAGGAGATGGACATCAACCGTCTGCGGGCCGTGGTATATAGGGACGTGGTAGGTGTATACGAAAAGCATCCATCAATGCCCTTTGAGAAACTTGTCAAGAACATCATAACTACGGTGAGTGTTTCCAGCATGTCTTCCATTCCGAAGCCGCTGTGCTTGCGCTAACTCTTGGCAGATCACTTCCTTGTGAGAGGATTGTCTGGGGGGTTGGAACTAATTTGAAAACACTTGAAGTAACTGTACAGTTGATTAACATATATTGAGGTTTACTGTTGTTGATTTTACACAATCTTAACATTCTCAGCATACCTCAGGTCTTAAGAAACTAAAACTGTCATCTGTTGAATAAATTTTTGTCCTTTATTCTGATATGCCTTCTTTAGTTTCTCGACTGTCTTGTATGACAAGGAAGCGTTCTGCCTGTGTATTGAAACGCACATCCAGGAGGTATGGTTGCTTAGCACAGAGACCATCATGTGGGATATAATTAAAACTGGTTTATTTTGGGGTTATCACAATATCTTTCAGATATTTCTTTCACTATTTTGGAATACTCCAATAAGAAATCCTGCCACTTGGTAATCTGTGTTTTGGTGAAGGGAATTGTTAATAAAGGTACATATAGAATTATTTATCTTGTAGTGTATATATAGTTTACATTAAACACGCTAATGCCAATTACGATATGTTTAACAGGCTTTAAAAAAGTCTTCATTTTGAGAGGATAACATTTTTATAAGAATAAGTTACAATTTGCAACTCTTGGAAGATCCTTTTGATTTAAATGCTGTTATTACTTCAGCATTCAAATTAGCTTTCAGCAAAACTAGATTCTTTTTCTCAGGCCTGTTTTTAACTGGTTCTAAGAATTTAGTGGTACTTATTTTAAATCTGTCATGGTATCTATCTGTCTGTATACTTAAATTACCTGACAGTTTTACTATTTGTCCAATGTGTTGTTAGAAATGTATTGACAATGCAACGCTACCCTTGGTACTGGGGTAACGGTCAAGCTGCATGTATTCCTGCTGCTGAGACATATACCTGTAGGCCAGTCTACCTGTCTGCATCTTTCTCTCTAGTCTCTGGAGGTTAGAAACATTTCATATGGTTATTTACCATTTCTTAACAACATTGCTGCATCGTCTAATACAACTGAATCCCATTTCATGAAATCTTAATAGTCCAGAGAAAGCTCGCCTCAATATTATGTGTCATCCTTGTAGTTTGAAAAAATGTATTCCTGAATACTACTGATTGTTTCTCAGCATTGAATTCAACAATATCATTCAGCTTAATTCACAGTTGTTTCTCTGACTGACACTGTTAAATCTGTCTTTAACTATTTTATTTTCATCAAATTAAATGTAATTTGTACAGAAAATGTCTATTGAATGTTTTATGTTATGAGATTTTTGTCATTAAGTGTGATTTCCGTTGTAAGGTTCATCTTGAAATCAATTCAGTTTTACTTGAGTTAATAAAACTATTTCAGTTCATGGAGTTATCAGGAATACTGACTTTGAAACTTGAAGGATGGCAGGTGCTTCCTGTATTGTCTGCAATATGTCTGTCTAATATAGCATTTATCTTAGAACATTTTCATGTATTCACAGGTTGCGGAACAGAGAAGACATTATACCTGAGACCTCACAACACAGTTCTGAATAGAATATGCATTTAGAGCCTATGTTTACAAAATAGTAACAATGCTTGTCATATCTGCTGACATCAGTGGTGATTTGATGGCCACAATGGCCGCCCAGTATGGATAGTACGTGGTTGTGAATATCCATGGCAACCTGGCGGAGGATTTAAGCATCCCCTCCATGTTCCATTAGCCTCTTGGCTGCCTGTGTTGTAGATGAAATACCTCTGGCAGTGGCATTCACAAAAGTCACACAGTTCTATGTTGAGCGTGTGGAACTGCTGTCTTTCATAAGCCTAGTATTGGCAGTGCTTCTTTTTGCTGACTAGATTAACACATGTAGAGTCGTCTTTCATTAACTTGTTATTAGTTTTGAAGTTTTAACAAAATGTTGATATATCCAATGAGGCAGGAAGGCATTTTACTGGACTCCTTCCACCATTTTGGTAATGGATGTGCACAAACTCCATCCTTTGTAACAGTTCCTAAGTTTTTTAGATGCCATTTTTAGCCACCTCACTTAAATAACAGTGGGGGTTGGGGGCTTGCCCCCTACACAGTGGCTTGCATGACAAGCTTTTATAAGTACATGTCCTTTTTAGTAACCAAAGCTAATGAAAAATATTGCATTTGTTGAAATGTCATGATGAGGTTGTTGCACACCATAATGCAACTACTATTTTTGAGTAATTTTTCGATGTTGATGTCCAGTTTCATTGTTTGTGAATTTGCTTTGATAGTCAATTTTGAGGTTTAATACACCATATAAATGCAAGCAGAGTTATTTTTCTGCTTATTTTGAGCTTTATTGCCCTATATTTCATATCACAACACAGTCACATACAGCTGTATTTGTAGCATAAAAAAAACATGGTGGATAGGTGTCTGGTAAAATGCATGCGTGTCATACAATATGTTTCAGTAGAACACAGTTATACGTTGATATACCATGATGTCATAGATTGTCTATAGATCGCAAATTATAATACAACTGTCACTACAATTCATCCATATCATAATCGCCTAATTGACATATTTATTTACTGTATTAATACAACACTGTCTTGTATGATACAAGGTGTCAATTGTTGTATTGTAGGAGGAGACCAAACAAGCTCAGTTCCTCGCCCTGGCTATTGTATATTTCTCATCCGTCCTCATGGTGTCAAAGTATCGGGACATCCTTGAACCGCCCAGTCCCGCGGCCACGCCCACCAGGTCTGCAATCAACTCGCCCTCAGTGAAAGATGGTACGATTATGTATATGTGTTTTGTAATTGGGTTTCTGGTTCTGGTGATGGTAATTTTCTTCTCTTGTTTCCTAAGACTGTGCTTGAATACAAGTTTCAGTGTTCATTTGGGCGATTTTTTTTTGGTGTAAATATGAATTATATCCTCATGTTTAACTTTGCTTATCTTTACATGGTAATGGTGTCAGTTATTAACATCTTTTCGAGGTGAATAGAATGGTCACAGCAAATATATTATCTTAAATGCCCCATAATTTCTTTGCTATCTTTACTTGGGGGAATTGTTTTGACAGGGAACAGAGATGCTACATGTTAAGAAACATCTTGGTAATTACGTGCTGGTTAACATGGAAAATATTTTGAATAATTTTGGTCGCTTGTTAGAATGAAAAAAATTAAAATGAAATAATTATGAATTTTTCATACACATTTGTATGTACAGAATGCAAATGTCTCACAAAAATAATTTTGTTGGCATTATGTTCAAAAAAAGTTGTTGTGGCCTATTCTGGGTGTTCATTATCATTTTATATCTATTCAGTAACACTTCTTTATCCTGTTTTCCCTTAATGCCTTCAAAGGAAGCCAATTCTGGCAAAAGCTCCAACCCCCCTCCATCCCGCTCCTCAGTGACAATAATATATCAGGGGCCACTAGCCCTCAAAATGGCGGAGACAAGACCACCAAAATACTCACCTCACATATGCAAAGTGCTGACACTGCCCCCAAAATAGTGACCACCCCCACCCAGAGCAGTGAGACGCAGCCAGGACCCCAGAGAGTTGGTGAGAGAATCATCGTGGAGGACGGTGGCAGCATCCTGGCCAACATGACTTGTAGCGGTGTTGATGTTATACCCCCTGTTCAAGGTTTCTGCTTATCCCTTTGGCATGCTCCTTGCACCGTCGGCTGTTCCTGCTCTTTTCTGTGTTGTTTCTGCTCCTTTCACGTCTGTTATTTCTGTGTTGTTTCTGCTCCCTTCACTGTCTGTTATTTCTGTGTTGTTTCTGCTCCTTTCACCTCTGTTATGTCTGTGTTGTTTCTGATCCTTTCACTATCTGTTATTTCTGTGTTGTTTCCCTTCACTGTCTGTTATTTCTGTGTTGTTTCTGCTCCTTTCACCTCTGTTATGTCTGTGTTGTTTCTGATCCTTTCACGTTCTGTTATATCTGTGTTGTTTCTGCTCCTTTCACCTCTGTTGTCTCTGTGTTGTGTCTGCTCCTTTCACATGTTGTTTCTGCTCCTTTCACATCTGTTATTTCTGTTTTGTTTCTGCTCCCTTCACCTCTGTTGTTTCTGTGTTGTTTCTGCTCCTTTCACGTCTGTTATTTCTGTGTTGTTTCTGCTCCTTTTACTATCTGTTATTTCTGTGTTGTTTCTGCTCCTTTCACGTCTGTTATTTCTGTTTTGTTTCTGCTCCCTTCACTATCTGTTATTTCTGTGTTGTTTCTGCTCCTTTCACGTCTGTTATTTCTGTTTTGTTTCTGCTCCTTTCACGTCTGTAATTTCTGTGTTGTTTCTGCTCCTTTTACTATCTGTTATTTCTGTGTTGTTTCTGCTCCTTTCACGTCTGTTATTTCTGTTTTGTTACTGCTCCCTTCACTATCTGTTATTTCTGTGTTGTTTCTGCTCCTTTCACGTCTGTTATTTCTGTTTTGTTTCTGCTCCCTTCACCTCTGTTGTTTCTGTGTTGTTTCTGCTCCTTTCACGTCTGTTATTTCTGTTTTGTTTCTGCTCCCTTCACCTCTGTTATTTCAGTGTTTTTTCTGCTCCTTTCACGTCTGTTATTTCTGTTTTGTTTCTGCTCCCTTCACCTCTGTTATTTCAGTGTTTTTTCTGCTCCTTTCACGTCTGTAATTTCTGTGTTGTTTCTGCTCCTTTTACTATCTGTTATTTCTGTGTTGTTTCTGCTCCTTTCACGTCTGTTATTTCTGTTTTGTTTCTGCTCCCTTCACTATCTGTTATTTCTGTGTTGTTTCTGCTCCTTTCACGTCTGTTATTTCTGTGTTGTTTCTGCTCCTTTCACGTCTGTTATTTCTGTTTTGTTTCTGCTCCCTTCACTATCTGTTATTTCTGTGTTGTTTCTGCTCCTTTCACGTCTGTTATTTCTGTTTTGTTTCTGCTCCCTTCACCTCTGTTGTTTCTGTGTTGTTTCTGCTCCTTTCACGTCTGTTATTTCTGTTTTGTTTCTGCTCCCTTCACCTCTGTTATTTCAGTGTTTTTTCTGCTCCTTTCACGTCTGTTATTTCTGTTTTGTTTCTGCTCACTTCACCTCTGATGTTTCTGTGTTGTTTCTGCTCCTTTCACTATCTGTTATTTCTGTGTTGTTTCTGCTCCTCTCACTATCTGTTGTCGTCTTGTTTATCTCTGAGGCTCCAGGATAGAATAGACCCCATCACAGTGGTGGGTCTAAGGGAGATTCATTTGGCTGAAGAGACACATATGAACTTTAACCCAAAAATAATACCTTGAAATACAGACAATGATTTTACTTTTAAGAGTCCTTGATCTGCTAGTACCATGAGTGTGTTTGTGAGGAAGATCAAGTAGGTACTGTTCTAGACCTGGCTCTTTTTGTGACAACATGCCCTGATGGCATGAATTGGTGTTCATGCTATCAGCCATTAGTTAACTTGCTTACTATATATATTTTTTAAAATTTAGTTTTGAAGTTTTTATGTGTTGTATTGTTTCATCAACCAGTTACCTAGTACTTTTGAACAGGTATTTGTATCTCTCCATTATACACAAAACTGAATTGTTTGATAGGCATTACTTAGAAGTTGACGGATGACAAAGTAGACACAATTAATGGATAACAACTTCTTTGATACTGTAAAAGGGCCGTTTCGGTCTTGCTTGACAACGGTATACGGATCTACCAGTGTACCGAAACGTCGTTATCCATAAACTGTGTCCACTTTACACAAAGTATATTTTTAAATATAATGACAGATCGTAATGTCCCTATAAAAAGTTCAGTTGTATATGATGAAAGGTAAACATCTTGTCTTGTAGTCCAGGGGAGGTCACTCTCATTACTGTGTCCAGTCTTGTTGTCCAGGGGAGGTCACTCTCATTACTGTGTCCTGCCTTGCATAAACATCAACAACACAGGATTGTGTTTGTTGAACACTATTTTGTTGTTACTGCATAATCACATCTAATCTGATTTCATAAGCACAATACTTTGATGTCAGATGTTAGTTGTTTTTATTGTTTGCTTTGCTTACATTTGTTGTTTTTCATAGAAATAACCTCTTTACTCAATAGTTCAAAAGTTATTTGTGTCAATACCTATGATATTTTTATTATCTCCAAATTGAATTATGTTACATTTACAGCATGTATTTTGTGCATACACTTTTAATTTAAGGGTATGATTAAAACTTAACATTAAAGAATTGAAGGAAATTGAAACTTTATAATGATTTTGATGTCATTATTGTAATAATGTTCACAGATGACACTTGAAATTGCTGCATCCCTTTACAAATTTAGCCCTTTGATGATTAATTATTTTTTCTGAATATATTTTAAAAATATACAGTTTCGTATGTCTTTCCATCTGTTTATTCAGTTGGGCTATAGTTGTTATAGTGATGGGAGAAATTAATGATCTCAGTGTTGTACATGAAGTTATCACGATCCAATGAGATAATTCCTTCCACCATACCACTTCAACATGCAGCACGGGTTATGGATGCAGAGGAAACACACCTGATTGTGTTTGTACTGTGATTAAAAAGAACAGCACAGTAATTTGAGACAGCTGACCAAGTGTTTGAACAATTTATGTCAAATTTCCTGGGACAGCCAATTGGGCTGAGCCTAGTTCCATAGTCAAATGTCTATCCGTAACAATTACAAGTACCGTTTGTGTCTTAGAGTATTATACAGGTGGTTGTTGATTCACCAGGGTTTTAACAGTTAAAATCATCATGTGTTTTCAGATTTCATTGATATTTTAAACTACTATAAGTTTGAGGGGTTAAGTCACCAAAAATCACTGTGCAGAGTTGCATCCCTAGGTTTGCCAGAAAGATATGTGATCGTTGGTTCGAAGTTTTGGTTATGTTTCTTGGTTTGTCAGCAATGTACCTGTGGATTTCACCAGTGTCATCTAAGATCTGCATCACTTCAGGCTTTCCTCCAAGATAAAGCTGAAAAGTTGTGATATAACTATTGGTGTCACGATATGGGGTACGACGAAAACAATATTGTATCCAGATAAGAGGCCCATGATACAATACTTTACAACCCCCGTATCGTGATACATATAATACATTACATTACAAGTTATACTGGTGTAAAATCGTGAATAACAACAGATTTAAAATGGTAAATGAAACTATCCAACTTAATTAGGTTTTGCTGTTCAGTGAATATTCAGAGGGTTTGCCAGTTTACTAACTTCACAAAACTTTTCCAGTGAACTTTTTTCATTTTTATGTTCATTAGTTTGTAGATGATCAGTTAGTTGTTGAACAGTAATTCAGTGATGGGCTTTGGTGATTTCCTCTCAATGTCTTCGTAATAAACATGTTAAAGAGTTAGGAATTGTTGTCATGTCACAACTCTTGATTCAGGTTTGTGGTTCAACAATATCATCTTATGAAATAAAAGTAATGTATACGGATACGAATTATGTCGCACCCCTAGTATCGGAATACACATTGTATGGTCACACGCCTGTGAAATACTGTTCCAAGTGGTAATTCATCAAACTCACACATTCGCTTTATTTTTGAGGAGCTGACCAGTTTCAGCAACATTTGACAGAGATGATATGTCATATATGAAAAAATCATAATACTTTATCATCCTTTCCAGAAGAAGAATCTTCAGCAGGGGACACAACTCAGGAGGAGGTTAGCGAGGAGACGCCCGCGACGACTAACGGAGGCGGCAGTGAAGACCACGTCAACACCAGCAGTGATGACACCAGTCAGACAAATGTCGAGGTCACTGCTGATGTCCACACAGATACACCAAAAGGTGGGCCGACATGTCAGGGTTACCTCATCTGCACCACTGTGTGAAGCCCATTTCAGGTGTCCCCCGCCGTGATGTTGCTGGAATATTGCTAAAAGCGGCGTAAAACCATACTCACTCACTCACTCACTCATCTGCACCACAGTGTGGCCGCAGGGGAGAATAGGTCCCACTACCTTGTCTTAAGACCAGGGCACTTGCACAAAGGGATCTTAACTCTATAAATATTGTAAGCCTTTGTTAAAGAATTGGAGTTACAGTCATATTAATGCTAAAATCGCTTTGTGCAAGTGGGCTCTGACTAATGAGGATTGGTTGGTCACAATGTATGATGTAGCTGAGTGTGTGTCAAAGTACCCCATGGAGTGAGTTGTTGTTGAAGTAGCTAATCTGTCCTGCCCAGATGACGGATCAAGTTACTTGGGGACTGTGCCACAGCATGCTGTGCAGGCTTGGATGCCTTTGGCATGCCATGGTAAACATCTGATATCTGCTGACATGCTGTGATATAACTGATATACTTTTCAAAGTGGCGTTAAACCTATTTCACTCACTCATTCTATTATACACAGTCTACCTGGATGCACTCACAAATTCGTTTTCAAGACGTAACTGAAATCATGGTTGATATTCAGTTGGTTGGTTGAATGGTTTGTTGTTTAACGCCGCACTCAGCAATATTCCAGGTATATGACGGCGGTCTGTAAATAATCGAGTCTGGACCAGACAATCCAGTGATTCATATTATGAGCATCGATCCACGCAATTGGGATCGATGACATGCATCATCCAAGTCAGCGAGCCTGACCACCCGATCCCGTTAGTCGCCTTTTACGACAAGCCTGGGTTGATGAAGACCTATTCTACCCCGGATCTTCACGGGTCGGTTGATATTCAGAGGTATTGTGAGCTCATGTAGGGATTCCTGGCAACTTCTGCCTCAAGTTTCTAATTCTTGTGACAAGTCACGATAGGATTTCAAAAATTGGTAGTACCTTGATAAATGCCTTGATAAAGTCTTGACCTGGCTGTATAAACTTTGAAAAGTTTAGTTACATCTACTTGCAAATAGAGGAAAAGATCTTCAAGATGACACATTTTCGTGTCATTAAACCAAGAGAAGACTGCGAATGGACTTCATAGGTTGCCATGAAATAGCTTGAATATATCTGACTGAGGCATAAAACAACATTCACTCACTCAAACCTGACTGGTGTGTTTTTGTTCCAGATGGGGAGGAGAAAACAGAGGAGAAGACAGAACCAAAGGTGGAAGAAACACCAGAGAAGACGGAGGCGAAACCTGATGAATCGAAGGAAGCAGAAGAGATGGAAGAAAGGAGCGAACCAGCGGGAGAAACGAAGGAAGAAACTAAGTCGGGGGAAGAATCCAAAGAACCAGCAACAGACGATAAAGCCGAAAACAAGGAGGATGTGGACCAGAAGAAGGATGCAGACAAGAAGGAAGAAGTACAAGAAAAGGATGCAGCAGAAGAAAAGAATGATGAAAAGCCCCAGGAAAAGACAGAGGAAGACAAGCCTGAAGGTGATGCGAAGGCAGAGGAAGTGAAAGAAAACACAGTGGCAGAGAAAACAGAAGATGGTGAGCAAAGTAAAGAGAAGGTGGAGGAAGGAGAGAAGAAAGAAGATGGGAAGACGGAGGAAGTGAAGGTAGAACAAGTGAAGGTGGAAGTGGAGGCTGGGAAGGTTCCGGGTAAGTTTTGTACTGGAATTGTAAGAGTGCACTTTGGGATTAGAGAAAGAGAGAGAGAGAGAGAGGGAGAGGGAGTTTGTCTACTTGCTTGAATGTGTCCTTAGTCATTAGTTATGGTTGCCATGCAATGTTGAGCATCTGTTTCTCAACTTTCATTACATTTTGTTTTATCTGCAGCAGAAACAGATGAAACAGACGCAGCCCAAGAACAGAAACGTGAAACTGTTGGAGAAGAGGACCAGACAGACGTGCCACCAGATGGCAGCTCTATCCCGATATCGTCCATCAGTGTGACTGGAGACGTCAGCAGCATCGATCACACGGCCACTACTAAACCCGACAAACTTGAACTCACCAACAACATCCCGGGGCCTCTGAAGATATTACCTCCCTTGGGTGAAGGTGGCAGTCTCACAGACAGACTGGAGAGGGCACTTGGTTCCGTCGCGCCATTACTGAGGGAAATATTTGTAGACTTTGCTCCCTTCCTTTCCAAAACTCTCATTGGATCCCACGGACAGGAACTTCTCATAGGAGGTGACAAATATAGATGTTTTTCCTTGGATTGCCATAACCATGTTTGATAGGCTTTGTGTCTACTTTGTCTTTTCGAATGGTTGTGCTTTTGCAATGTAGGGATGTTGTGGTGAATTTAAGATTTGAGTGATTTCATTAATTTGTTGTCTTCAGTTATTTGTGTGAATGAAGCATTGTGTGAAATTATTATTGTTGACATATTTTTTTATAAGACTTGATTTCAACATGTTTTTGCATTTATAGAAATTTTAACGTAAGAAACAGTGTACAGACTGTGAAAATATTGAAGTCAATCCTTAAATGAAAAGTAATCAGAGTTCTAATTTGTTTATGTGGCCATATCTGTAGAAAGTAATCCCTGAGATTTCTTTCGTATTATTGTTCTCTGAAAATTGATTGGTATTGTAATTTGCCCGTAGGTCTGGTGACGTTGAAGCAGAGCACGTCTGTGGTGGAGTTGGTGATGTTGCTGTGCTCCCAAGAGTGGCAGAACTCCCTACAGAAGCATGCAGGCCTTGCCTTCATAGAACTCGTCAATGAGGGCAGGTAGGTGTACAGCCCCGTCAGGATTTAGAATATACCCCCTGCAATCTATGGTGGACGTAATAGCCGACTTAATGGTGGTCAGGCTCGGTGACTTTATAGCTTGTCGTATACCCCAAACAATATGTGTTATTGCTCCTAATGTCAATCACTGAATTGTTTTTGCCAGACTTCCTTATTAACAGTCCGCTGTCATGGTGTGTGGCATTAAACAACAAACATACATGGAGATGTACTCTTGGCCAGAATGGTATTTGAGGTGGATTCTTGCTGGGGAAGTAGTAATGTTATGGCCATAGGGACACTTGCTGTCTCATTGATGCCTGCCACCTAGGAGCAGCTGTTCACTGTGCAGAGTTGTGTCCCTTAGCCAGAATCCTGTGATTTTGGATTCAACTCCCACATTTGATTATGACCCTTGGTTTTCTCAGCACAATTTTTCCGCTTGTGGGTTTACAAAAGTAGAGTTGTTTCTGACCAACATCACCTAAGGCACCGTCCACATCAAGCAGACAAACTGTTCAGGAGGCAATTAGCATTACTTACTGTGATATCTGAACTACTGGCCCGTGCTAATGGATGACATATTATTGTGTTTCAGGTTGTTGGCTCATGCTACCCGGGACCACATTGTTCGAGTGGCAAATGAGGCGGAGTTTATTCTGAACAGAATGAGAGCTGAGGATGTGCAGAAGCATGCCGAGTTTGAGGTAACAACAGAACCATCATGTGTGTCAGATCCCAGTGATAAATCAGTACTGCTGGAAGCTCTCATAAAATCTCCCATCATACACCCTTTGACTACAAAACCTCTACTACATCACTGCCATAAATCGTGTATTTTGACTGTCATCACACTGTAAAATCTTTGGATTTTCTCCAGAAGTCCTCTTCACTGTTAACTATCCATAACTAGTTGAGATACTAATCATATCTTCCAGCATGTTCGTTCATTTTCCTGAAATTGGGGTAAGATAATTGTGGCCACAAAGCTGTGGTTTTCCACTGCCAGATTATGTTGTAACTGACATGGTTCCAACTAGCGGGTGCTCTATATATGCTTGTGTGCTGCAGTCCCTGTGTGCCCAGACTACTGTGGACCGGAAGGATGAGGAGAAACTGTGTGACCACCTCATCACCTCCGCCAAACGCCGTGACCACGCCCTGTCCGTCAAACTCCGCGAGAAGGTCGTGAACATCCTCACCAACAAACACGGTGCATGGGGCGAGCGAAATCAAAAGTAAGTGAAGATATTACCAGAGCTCCAGATAAGCAGCGTATCTGCGTGAAATACGCATCAGAAATGCAGATATACGCAGTAAAATATAATCCAAGCGTATCAAATACGCAACGAACATTACAGATACGCTACAAAAATAAAATTTGTGTGTATCATCAAAATATTGTGAAGTAACCCTGCGTATTCGATTAGCAAATCAGCAACTTATTTTGAAATTATAAACGGGCATTCCGTCAACCTTGCCAAACTCCACGATGACAGTCACATCATGATCATTTGCCATCACACTTTCGTGTGGAAGTATCGTGGTATTTTTGAGTCCTATAAAGCTCTCAAACCCACACGACACCAGTTTGCAGGGACTAGATGAATAGTGTTTTTAAATATTTAACTTAAATACCCACATGTGTAAAAACTAGTGGGTAACAGAAATTTGAATACGCAGATAGAATTACTGATACCCAATGATTTTAAAATGCATGGGTAAAATACCCACAACACCAAAAGCTTATCTGGAGCTCTGATATTACTGTGAGAAATTTAAAGGATTTCTGATGTCTCGATATTGTAAGCAGTTTGCTTTGAGGATTACTGAAACATCAAGTCTTCCAGACATCACGGATGAAGTCCATCTCCCTTTTAGCCTAGGGAATCTCTTTGAAACATTTATGTTACCCTGCCGGACGCTCGGCATTAAGGAGCTAAAAAAGTACTGGTCAGCTCGGACTCATTATAATGTCTCTGTGTGGGGTATCCATGTTAAACTGCAACATGGTATCTCACTGGCCTATTGCTATAAAATAGCAGAGGGGTGGTCGGGTAGCCAAGTGGTGAAAGCATTCGCTCGTCAAGCCGAGGACCCGGGTTCGATTCCCGACATGGGTACAATGTGTGAAGCCCATTTCTGGTGTCCCCTGACGTGATATTGCTGGAATATTGCTAAAAGCGGCGTAAAACCATACTCACTCACTCACTATAAAATAACAGACACACACATGCACGTCACTATATTAGTGCAGTAGTCTTGAGTCTGCTAGAGCTGGGAAGGGGATGAGTATCACTACTACGGCTGATAAGTGGAGGAGAAATCAAATGGGCCTTCTGTGAGAGATACTAACATCCCTTTTGTTGCACAAATTATGATCAATCCAAAAGAATATAATTCCTTGTGGAGTCAGGACATTGTTCCTTGGATGTCATATTGCACATGGAATATTTGTCCTTGTGGTTACATTGAGTGAAGGTCATGTTTATGACCTATGCATTGTTTGTTGCAGGAGGAGAGAGTTCTGGAAGTTGGATGTGTGGGAGGACGACTCGCGCAGGAGGAGACGTCTCGTCAGAAACAATTTAGGATCCAGTCACCCTGAAGCCACTCTCAAGGCAGCTATTGAACATGGTCAGGACACAGCTCTCACTCAGATTACATCACTGAATATTTGTAATATGCAAGGGGATTTATTAAACGATATATAAATTGAAATGAAAACACACTTAACAGATCTGTTTGACAAAATTTTGTATTTTGGAACTTTACTCAATTTCACCTGATGAATGAGTAAGCATATACTCCGAAATATTGTGTTCCTCATAATAAAGAAGTTGACATCCATAAGTTCTCTCTCTTATGGATGTGTGTCACATCTTTATGCCATTCAAAAGATAAAAATGAACAAAAAATATTAAGGAGTAGAATTAAAACTTTTCTTGAAGTTGTTATGATACTGAAAATACTGGTCAAAAGACATCATCCAGCAGTTGTGAAGGCCAAGTCTGAGTTGTTCCCTTAACGTTTGTTGCCATTGCTATGAGCCGTGATGCAGATTTCTTCGTTTTGTCCCGACCCAGGTGCTACCGAAGATGCAATAAACCAGGCGCGCGATGCCCTCCACTCCCACCTGTCATCACTGAAGAAGTCCCAGAAGGAAACTACGGATTACACGGACGAAGAGCTCCTTATGGAGGAGAAGGAGTTTGACCAGGACTTCTCGGGTACCACCTCAGCCTCTCATACAATTCCTGAAAAATTATCCGAAAGCTCCCAAGTAGTCTACAATCAAGTCTAGATTTCTCCAGCTACAGTGAAGACATAATCTGGCTCCTTTTTATTATGTATTAAAAGACAATTAAAAATGAAAGTATTTTCATTTCAGAGACTAAATGTCAGTCAAGTCAGACCTTCTCCCACTTTCAGAACAATGTTAAGTGTCACTATGATTAAATGATACAAAAACATTGGTTAATCTACCCTGGGTAGAATAACTGTAAGTCATTGAACTATATTCGTATGAAAAAATCAGATGTTCTTGAACTTACTTTGAGTAGTATATTTCCCTTCTAACTGCATGGACTCATCTGAAGATGTCTGTGACTCTAGTAACATGGAGGCCCAGTCATCTCATGTGTCACAGTTAGCTCTACAGAGTTCTGTCCCATAGTTCACCAGGATCCTGTGACCATGAGTTAGAATCACAGATCTGCCCTTTATTATTATCCCAGGTTTGTCAGAATTTAACTGGGTTTCGCCAAAGTAGTAACCCACTTAGGCCTGCATAATTTGTCCCACCGTGATGAAACTGACACTGAAAGCAAACTCCCTCACTCCCTGTTCAAGGTCCTGTTGCCTTATCAACTCCGTGTAAACTGGTAGCCCCAGGGGTGGCTGTAGCTGGCACTGTGTCCATCACCAAGTCCGAGCTGTACTTCGAGATGGATGAAGACGAAGCCGAGAACAAGACGATAGATCAGAAGGTAAGGGAGTTATCTTTTCTTTGTTTAGCGCCTTAGCTGTACCAGAGATCAAGCCAACATGTTTCTGAGTTCTCTCCCAGGTAGACCTCACTTTAGACCCCTGGAGTTGAGGTTGATCTAAGTGGAGGTATGAGGTTTTACAGTCAAATTCAAGGGGGGTTGTATTATTTGTAAATTGGTAGGTTTCAAAGTCGTTCCTGTTCCTGTTCCTGTGTCATGTTCCTGTGTACAGGTCTTCATCACGGGTATCAGTATTTGTGTCAGAGTTTGTGAAAGTTTCTTTGACTGTAAAGCCTAATAATCGAACATTGCTACTAATCAACTTTAAAGCCATGGTATCAATTTAGTTAACGATCGTAGCACAAGTTGTTTGTAAGTCTTTGTTAATGTTACACATAGTCACAGTGCTATGATCGTTAGTTGAACAGAGGTGTAACGATACGGTGGGGTTGGATACAATACGTATCCCAATACTATGGCTGCGATATGATTCGTTTCCAGATACAGTATGTTTATTTCACAAGTTGATATTCTTGTGAATCACAACCCTGAATCATTTGGTTAAATTTCAGAGATGAAAGATGGGATATTGTAGGGCAGAAAAATATTGGTAGAGGGCACTGTGAATGTTGTGTCATTTCTGTTCAACCATAAGATACCAGAAAATCTGCGTAAGCTGGTGGTTGAAACAGTTTCTGTTATTATACACGTTTTTACACCAATATAACTTGTAATGAAATGTATCATAAATCAATGTATTGTATCATGGGCCTTGTATTGCAATACAATACTGTATCCCCGTATCGTTACACCACAATAGTTGAATGGGCCCTGGCGTTTAGTTCGTTTGGTTTGTTGTGTGGTACTGGCAGCAGTAGAGTGAAGAAGACCTGCTGGGGACACTGCTGGACGATGTATGTCGGTCAGTCATGAAAAAGGAAGAAGGTAAGTCTCTCTCACAGGGATACTGAAACATCGATACATCGGTTGTGTCATGGTTCGTATTGTCAGAGGAACATTTTCAATGCAGAGATACATTAGTTAAACAAACTTCTGATATACAGTCTGCAGTCATACAGAACACATTCAGATAATGTCATACGATACAGTTATATAGTATAGCCACTTAATCACACAGAACAGTGATATATATATATATATATATATATATATATATATATATATATATATATACAAGCGTAATTATTGATGGGTCACACAGATAATAAGAGATAAAAGTATTCAAACAACATCGTATTTCCACCTTCAATCTTGCACTTTTTATTGTTTTTAATAGTTGTTGTCCATTTTCCCTTTTCACGAAAGCATCCAACTGGTGTAACATAGGTTTGTTTAAACAACATGATCTTAGACTGTAAATCACATTGTCAACATCCTCAGACCTATTGACGCTTCTTGGCATATGTTCATGTTTGACACCCTACATACAGAAGTGACCCTTCAGTTATGATGCTGAGAATAGTTTACAGTCAAACAGAACACTCATGTATAGTATGGTCACATATAACAGTGATATATGGTATAGAACATTCATATATAGTATGGTCACATATAACAGTGATATATGGTATACAACAGTCATATATAGTATGGTCACATATAACAGTGATATATGGTATAGAACACTCATATATAGTATGGTCTGGAGAACAGTGATATATAGTATACAGGCACACAGAACACTCATATATAGTATGGTCGGGAGAACGGTGATGTAAATTATACAGTCCCAGAACAGTTATAGATGTTGTAAAGTCTATTAATTCATCACACATCTAGAGAACAGTCCATCACAATATAATGTATTGTAATCAGTGTCTTATTCTTTGTTTGAAGAACAAATGTCTTGTTCATCAGAGGCCATTGTTGTCTCGTGTTCTGATAGTCGAATGATATTTTTCACAAAGATCATGTCATATTTTTCAGTTTTCATTCCCATCCACACACGAACAGTTTGAAAGATTCTGGATGTTACCTTACTGATTATCTGATGGTGGTTGATAAATATGAAAATTAGTCTGTGTAGCTTGATAACATTTTTTATTTGGCGTAATTTTATGGTGCAAATTATCCGCAACTTCCCTTCAAAGTGTAGGATGTCTTCTATTTTTACAAGAACATGTCGTTATAGTTTCTGCTGACAGTGAAGTGATTGAGTGTTCCAGGACAATGTGAACAATGCATTTGATTTGGAAGTTGTATTTTTTCTTTTTCTAATCCATCAAAAATAGAACAGTCAGACAAATGACAAATATTTGAAAAATTTGTGATGTTTTTCTGACAGACTTGCGTCTCCTGTTGTTCAAATTCGTATCAAATAAGTTTAAAAGTGTATTCGTATCAAACAAGTTTAAAAGTGTATTCATATCCAACAAGTTTAAAAGTGTATTCGTATCAAACAAGTTTAAAAGTGTCACTGTAGGAACATCAGAAAATTGAAACAGTAATATAAGAATGTGTTTGAATATTCTGCAGACCTGTATATATCTTTATTGTTCTTTATTTTAATTTGCACAGTAAACTATAAAAACTTACAAGGATAAATGAGATGTGTGTACACTCGTAACCCTTGGATAGTTCATCAACATTAAAAAAACATTAAACCTAATCCAATTATGCCATTAAGTTTTCTTATAGATAAATGTCTTTTTTATGTAATATGGCATTTATGTTTACAAGCTTCTCCGTGACACGCCCACTTGGATACAGAGTGTTTCTTGTGGGAGGAATTTGACCTTTGAACCTGACGTATACATTCTCTTTCAGGGTTGACATGATAATACCAGCGTATGTCATGCTCATTGTTTCGAGTAACGCATGCAAAGAAATGTTTGAAATCTGATGTTTGCTTGTGTTTAAATTGTTCTTATGATGACATTATTTATGGGTTTGATCTCTGGTTGTTATTTGTTTGCTGTTTTATTACATTTGTTTATTTGTTTGTTTGTTTGGGGATTCATTTAAAGTATTTGATACATAATTCAATTCTTATTCAAATAGCATTCATGTTTTAATAAAAGTTCCTGCGTCTCATTGACCTTTTGTCTTATGACCTTTTGACCTAATTCTTCAGATTGAGGTTTTCAAAATTTTTACTGGTGTGACAGATTTGTTTTATTTTAAATTTAAAGTTTTAAAAATATTTGTTTATTTGCCTGTCAATGCTATGTATCAAGTACTTCAAATGTAATGCTCTTCTTTAAATGTCTATATGTATGTAGTTCTGTAATGTTATCTTCACTGATGATATATTTTTGTTTACCTGTTGAAGTTACTTTTGAATGCCACATTTTGAAATTTGTCTTGGCTTACAATCATATTGATATCTGGATGTTTGGACTACATGCAAAGAAGAACAATTTTTCTCAAGCTGTACAAACATTCTGTCCAGAAGAATGTACATCATGGTTTTTCTCTTGACTGAAAGTGAGGATTAATTTAATCTTCTACATATTCCTGGCCAAAGTGAGGAGCATAGGTGGCCCAGCTGTCTGAGGAACCACATGTCACTGTACAGAGTTAGGTCCCTTAGTAAAGCCAGGATCAACCTCGTTGCAATTTTTAGTTTTGTCAGCATCTAGTTATGCTTGTGGTTTTCACTAAAGTGGTAAACTTCTTACAACAGGGCTCCATTTCATGAAGCAGTCGTATCGCTAAGATTGTCGTATAAAGTGTACAGGGTATGTTACACTATGGGAGTTACGACAATCGTAGCACTTTCATTACTTTGTGAAGTGGAGCTTTACAGTACTTTTGGCTTCCACACACATTGAGCTGACTTGACATAAGGCTTTTGATGTCTGTTACAAAACATCACACTAGCTGCATCAGCATCTGGATTCTCATGGGATTCTTGTAAACAGATCATCACAAGTTGAAGAGGAACTTCTCAGTGGTTTTCATATTGAACAGAGTACCACATTCCACACAACTATCTTCAGATAAACCAAACTTTAATGAACCTGAGATGATACATGAGACTGGGAGAGTTTTTGGTCTGTGATTGCATCACTTACTAAAAAAAAAAAATATTTGATAAAGCGCCTGGCTTCCAAATTGAGGGCTGCTAAGTGACACTGTTGGCAACTTGGCACTCTAAGGCACATAGGTTATTTGAAATAAATGAGTCTTTAACAGTTTTCGGAAGTGGTCTGTTCTCTCAGCTGATTTCATGGAGAGAGAAAGAGTTCCATGGTGTTGGGGCTGCAAAGGAAAAGGTCTATCTCCTAGTTACTGTTTTAACATTGTTATACTTATCACTTAGTCATCAAAACGCTATTTTTGGAGAAGTGGAACGTGGAAACACACATATTTTGGGGGGCCTAGGGATACACTCAGGATCCTTTAATCAAGAATCAGCATTAGAGCTGATCTTTCAAAATTCACTTGCCAAAATGCTGACCATTTCATTCTTGAAGGTTTGGCTTTGGCAAACGTAAGAGTAGGTTCATACAAATAAAACAAGGAAGTAGTCTGGCCTTATTGTTGAAGGAGGAAATTCAGTCATATTAATGTTAATTTGAGAACACTGAAACCACATAGATCTTATATTTTTTAATTCTTGGAAACAATGGAAATATGAGTTACAGCCTGCTTTCAAATGAAGGGAATGACTGGTCTATACAATTGTACTTTGGTAGCACAAAATAGGAACAATACTGGGATGGTGATAAAAGGTATGGTGAAACTAAAGAAAAAAAGAAAAAATGTTTTGGGATGGGGCTCTGGATTAGATCCGGAAAACAAACACACATGTACTATTAGTGGAGAAGATGTCAGGAAATGGCAGCAATAAGGGGATAAATTGCAGCTCTAAAATCCAGGCTCCTGTTTCACAAAGCTTCCTCAGCACTATGACAGTCATGTGGGAGTTACAACTGTCTTGGTGAAGAGTGCTTGGTGGAACGAGCCCTCTACATTAGGCTGCAGCTATCCTCTATCTGAAGATATCGTTCTGTTGGGAAACTACAAGGTGATAC